AATCCTGCTACTGTTTTTATCAAAGTTTGCTGCATTTCACGACAAAGGCAATATTAGAAAAATCCTTGGAAGAGACTAATGAATATGGCGACTAATAAAACTAATAAAATTTGTTTTTAATTGCGGTATAATTTTTTAATGGAAAAATATTTAAAAGGACCAGATAGAGAGCATACCTACTAAAACAATACTAAACTATGACAATTTTATTACACGCTTCAGATTTTATTAATTTTCTACAACAAAACTTGATTTTGTATATCTAAAGCATCCTTAAAAGATCTTTTAAGGCCCACATCAGTTTTCCATGTTAAAGCGTTATTTAGTAAAATCTAAAGCATCCCTAAATCCTTTTAAGGCCCTCCTCGGTTTTCCTTATCAAAGCTTTATTTCGTAAGGTATCCCTAAAAGATTCATCTCGGGACTTGATGTGGTAATAATGAGGTATCCCATTTTACTTTCAGCTTTATCGGGACTTTATGCTTCATGAGGATGGTCTTAACAAGTTTTTGCTCGCGCGTTTCTATTTCATTCAATACGATAAAACGTGACTGCTGTATGAAGCGCTCAGGAACGGTTTGAATCAAATTGGACTTGCAAATCGACCAGCACGATTGTCGCTAAATTTACCTGTCGCGTCCGCTTCACCCCTCGCGTTGCGTTCCGTCTCGAACCACCCCGATGACCGCCAAGTTCGACGCTTTTAATTGCGTTTGATTCTCGCTCGATTCGCTGCACTTTGCGTCTTCGAGCTTTGCGGTTTCCCGGGCGAAAAGCCTCGCTCCTGCACCTCTTCGTTCTCCACCCCATGGTGAATTCACTCTCCGGTCACGACGCCCTCGCAAGAAATTCCCCACGTCAGTTCGACGACGCGTCTCTTCGTCTTTCGGTTTCCGCTCACGTAGGGACGCCTTGAGTCTGCGGAAGGGAGGAAGAGAAAGGACGATTCAATCGTCGTCCTCGTCGGCGGCGGCAGTGGTGGTGGCAACGGCGATGACGCGGGCGCAGTCGACGAAATATTTATTTCGCGGAAAACCCTCCGCCCTCTTGAAGATTGATAAGCGCGGATCGCGAGGAGCGTCCGTCTCGTCGCGAGTAAATATGCATTGCGACGGTGGAGCTTGCGAATGGCGTGCGAATGCAGCTTGCACATAACTGCCGGGGCGCGTAGCTGCGAGCGCAGTACGTGAGGCGGTTTCTCGCCGAGGCCGCAGCAGAAATCACGGCAGCCCTGCGGATGATGGAGGTGAATAAAAAGTGTGTAAAGAATAATATAAAGTCGCCGTTTGTAAATTTTATGAGATACGGCGGCATGAGAAATGCGATCGCGCTCGTGCGACGGGGCGGGAGAGTGTGGGGAGGAGGGGGTGAGTGCGCAAGAAAAATAGTGCAGGCGGAGAGACAGATCGCGTTTCTTACTCTGTGTAAACGACGTCGGAATAGATAAAGGATGAGTGGAAGCGTGTCCTGCGAGCTCCGCGTCGCGCCGACGGAGCCGGAAATGCAAAAGTACAATCGCAGGAATTATAGAAAAAGGAAAAGTGACGGGAAACGGCGGTAGAGGAACGGAGATAGAGTCGGCGACGCACAAAAGTACCGCTGAAACATTAACGATATTTCAGGGATGAGGGCGAGAGAGAGAGAGAGAGAGAGAGAGAGAGAGAGAGGGGGGGAGAGAGAAGCAAAGAAGAAGCATGGAGGCGGAGAGGCGCGCAAATGCGAAGGAGGAGGGGTTCGCGAGTGGTCGCGAGTGGTTTTAAGCCGGAAGTCGAAAGTCAAGGGCAGAGAAACGTTCGCCAGCGAGGCGCGTTTAACGCCTCGCGGAATCTGCCATCCGCACGCGGATTTAATTCACGTCGTCACTTAATGCCGTGCGTGAAGCGACAAGGGAGAGAGACTCGCCACCGCGTCCGAGAGGGGCCTGCTCGAAGTTCGAAAACGCGTTTAATCGTTTTCGACTCCGCGTCCGTCTCGAGTGCCCGGCACTCGCCGTGGCGCGGCGCGGCGCGGCGACGGAGAGGCCGGATTAAAAGTCCGCGCGTCCCGGAAGCTCGGCCAGAGTAATACCTTCTCGACGGGAGCTCTCTGGAAAGTTGAAGACAGCAGCCATCTCTGCCTTGCCATTAAGGGCTCGCTCGCGTTGCGTCGCGGCTTCCCGAAATCGCGACCGAAACTTTGGCCTTGGCAGAGCAGAGCGTTCATGCAAATTCGCGTGTACGCGCGTCGCAAGCGCGACGCAGAAACGACGCGACAGTTGCTTGTCGTGATAATTGAATGCCGTAAATGCGAACGTGGAGTTGCGGCAGCCGAATCTTGAGAGCATGGAAACTGAGAAGTGACTTTCTCGGCGGAGAGACGCTGTTGTGCAAGCGGAGCTCTTGGAGTGTTTGCCGCTCCAGGGACTCGAATCTTTCCGCGGGAGCGTCGACTTCGCCGGGCGACTTCTTTTTTAAATTGTGCTGCTCGATTTTTCTCGACCGGCGCGGCGCTCGCGCGAGATACTCTTGCTCGGTATGTTCGTGTAATATCTGTCGTGTAACGATGAGATATTTTTGTAACATTGCTCACGCGAACGGAGATCCTGCAAAGCAGACTTTGTCGCGACATTAAGATAGAGCGAGAGCAAGAGCGAGAGAGAGAGAGAGAGAGAGAGAGAGACAGAGAGGGAGCGGCTCTTGATAAAATCGAGAGCAGATTAAATTAGCGCACTCTCGCTGAACGCGCGCGTGAGGCATTAATTATCCAGTCCGTTAAAGTACTCGGGCCCGATGGCCGGTCCCTAATTAAATTTAGCTCGCCTCCCCCCTCAGGCCGTAATAAGCATAATCGAGCAAGCCGGTATTCGTTTGAGTCTCGAATCAAGACTAACGAGGAAAATTTATCTCGCTTACAGAAATCTCCGGGAGATTTACAGGCGCCGCAATTGATTTCGGGGTCTCGCCCGAGGCATAACGTCCTTGTAAAATTTACGTTCGACCCGAAGACGAGAAAGAAAGAAAGAGGAAGATAGATCCAATCCTATAAGTATATTATTAGGAGTGTGATCTAGTTTTGTGAGGATTTTTCAAGAAATGGCACCAATGCCAATTTTGTCGAAGATATTTGTCGGAGTTATTCAGCTATTGTTTTTTAATGCTTTAATATTAATCCGTAATATTCAGTCATTTACTAACAATAGATGCAGTAAAAATCGTGCTAATACCATCTTAAAAGTCGAGTTTTCTAAAGAGCATTATCGACATGCGTTGCTTTTGTTTTTTAATCAGAAGAAAACGGCGGCTGAAGGTAATAGAATTCTGATGGAAACTTATGGCGATGTTCCATCAATTAAGACACGCGAATACTGGTTTAGACAATTCAAAAGTGGTGATTTCAATGTTGACGACAAAGTTCGCTCGGGACAACCAAAAAGGCTGGAAAATGCAGATTTGCAAGCATTATTGGATGAAAATCCGATACAATCCATTTCAGAACTTGTCAGAGCATTAAATGTTGACCGTACAAGAGTTTACCAAACGTTTACATGATTTGGGAAAAATTCACAAAGAAGGAAAATGGGTTCGATATTAATTATCGGAGAGTGTCATTGCAAACCGGTTGAACATTTGCATTGATCGCTAGACAAAAAATAAAGAGTTTTTTGTATCGAATTGTTACTGGGGATAAAAAATGGATCAATTTTGATAATCCTAAACGAAAAAAATCACGGCTGGTTGATCCAGGCCAACCAGCAACATCCATTTCGAGGCGCAATATTCACGGTTCAAAGGTATCGTTGTAAGATGTATTTGATGGGATTAAAAAGGTATTGTGTACTATGAACTATTAAATTCGAATGAAACTATCACCGCTGGTCGTTATCGACAACAATTATACAAATTGAAGCGAGCATTGAATCAAACTCAATCATCAATTGCGAGTAAACGACGCAAAGTGTCCCTTCTTCACGACAATATCGACGACTCAATCTGATGTTGCATTGTCAATGAAGCAAACGTTATTAGAACTGGAAGGGGAAGTACCGTATTTCCCTGCGTTTTACCGTACGTTGCGTATTTTCCAGACATTGATCCATCCAATTATCACTTGTTCTGGTCGATGCAACATGCTCTAGAGCAGGGGTTCCCAACTGGGGGTGCGAAGAAACATTCTTGGGAGTGCGAGAAAAAGTGATTGTAATTAATAATGATTCAGATGAATTCTGGAATAATCCGACATTTTTACCATTGAATTAAAAAAAATGTTATTAAAATTATATATTTTTTACGTATCTATACATATACATTCATAATGTATCACTATGCGAAGCTTGATATCATGGATAATAATTTTATAATATTAAAATGATAGTTAATTTCTATAAAACAATTCTATGTAATAATAAATTATTACAAATTAACTTCAAACCTTAAAACCCCAATAACTAATTTTTACCATAAAACATACGAATAATTTTTGTTTTGTAGGAGATGCGAAGGTTCATTAATAAATTTTTAGGGGTGCGAAATACAAAAAATGTTGGGAAACCCTGCTCCAGAGGATACACACATTCATAACAATTTCGAACAAGTGCGAAAATTTATTGAAAATTTGTTGATGGCTCAACTCCAAAGAACAATCCTGTTATCATTGCGGAATCCGTCTCTTGCCAGAAAGATGGGAAAAAGTTGTAGAAAACGAAGGAAAATATTTTGATTAAGGTATTCGTTCATTATCTTGTTTAAGTAAATCAGTTCCTGAAGAGGAAACCTTCAAAACTAAATCACACTCCTATAAATATAAAATCTGAGAGGGTCATAAACAGTGAAAACCTCGGCGCGTCCTTCCGCGTTGGACGGCTTCGTAACTCGACATTGTCCCGGGACGAGATCGATCGCGAGGCACTTCCTTCTCCCGGCGAGTCGCGTAAATCCACCTTTGACGATACGCAGGAGAATTTACGCCGAGCAGATGTATGTGCGTGCGTGAGTCTATGTGTGTATTCGCATCTTCTGTTACAGATTTACCGTCTCTCGCGATCGGCCAACGGCGACACGGGGTGGCTGGTCGCGTCGCTTGTCGTCCACGTTAGGACCGCGAAGAATGGCGTAAAGGCGACCACGGCCACTTAGTATGTTAATGCGAGACGCGGCTCGTACGTGACTGGAGGGCTATTATTGATGATCCCGGCGAGAAGGAGCGAGCCGTAAAAGCCGTAAAAACCAAGACGACGACGACGAGGAGGACGGAGCAAGAGCGAGGAGCGGGCTGTGTGTAAATAGCCGGTGTAACGCGAGGCTGTAATAATCGTCGTGGATCGTCCCGCCGCGACCGCGCAGTGATCTACGAGGTAATCCGAGAGAACCGGCGAATCCGACACCGAGCGACGATCGCGATCGCCCGTCGCCGTATAAATGATTAAGTCGAATATCCGCGACGACGAGCGCGACGTCGGCCGCGGGAATGCGGCGAGGTCGGATCTCGCGCGCGAGATAACTGGAGTTATTAGATTATCTCGAGCGTGATATCTCGCGCACGTCGCGTGAGTTCCGAATTAATCGCGCTCCACGCAGCTGTGACTTTTCGCGCCAACTGCGGCGTCCCGAGCGAACATCCCGGCGGCGCGACGGCGCGAGGCGTCTCCTTCGGGAAAATTACCAACGGAGCGTAGGGAGCCTGCGGGATTCTCGGAGATTTTCTCGGAGTTTCTTACGTTATCCGCGACGGTAACGCGCGGATTTCTTCCCGACATCAGTTGCTCAACATCTCGGAGGCGATTCTCTTCGGTGATGGTAGACAGAGTTCAGGAAATCTCGTATAATTTCCGGGAATCTTGGATGTTTCTCAGGATTCTTCGCACTCGCGTTTGCGTTTCGCCGCGACGTTGATTCCGCCGGTTCACCCGGATCTCCGTCGTGCCCGTCGTGCACGAGGACGATCATTCGCGAGCGCATCGCTTTCGTTGCAGAAGTCCCGTTTCGCCGTTTGAAATGGAGTAGACGCTCGAGTAGACGTGCGCGCGATTGAACGCGATCGCAGCCGGTTATACGAGCGGCGACAATCGTGAGGGTCCCTCTATCCACTTGGGCATTTTCGACGAGGCGCCGCTCCGCCAGCCGACTCGTGTTGCAACATGTTCGGGACGAAATTGCGCACGTGGATGGAGGCACACATCGTGCGATCGAAAAAGAAGAAGGACCGGAAGAAGGGCGACAAGGGATTCGACTCGAACTGCAACTCCCCCAGGAGCCACAGCGCCAACAGATCGCCCGCTCTGCATCAGGTGAGTGAGCTTATCGCAGCCTCTCAAGAGAGAGCTCGAGAGAATCTAAGGTGAATCTCTCGCGCCGAGTCTCTCGTATCGTCTCGTGTAATTTGCCGTGTGTCATTCCGCGAGCCCATTCAAACTCGCCCGACGTGGCTTCGCGCCAAATTGACCAATCGTGGTAACGCGATTTCTCTCTCTCTCTCTCTCTCTCTCTCTCTCTCTCTCTCTCTCTCTCTCTCTCTCTCTCTCTCTCTCTCTCTCTCTCTCTCTCTCTCTCTCTTTCTCTCTCTCTCTCTCTCTCTCTCCTCTCCCTCTCCCTCTCCCTCCCTCTCTCTCTCTCTCTCTCTCTCTCTCTCTCTCTCTCTCGTGGACTTTTGATATTTTATGCATCAGTCGACGCGAATTTTTCGAGGTATTTTAGCCACCGCAAAAGTAAAATCTCCAACGGAGATCTGATATGCTATATTGGGTTTTTAGGAAAGTAATATCGGTTTCTTGCATGAAAATGAAAGACGATATTTTTAATAGAAAAAAAGTTTTATTCTGCTGAGTATTGACCATTTTGTTCCGACACCTTTTGCGATGTTTGAGGTAATAACATGATTCCACGTTCGTAGAACTTTTGGTCCTTATTGGCAAAAGACTGAATTAAGTGGTTTTTGACATTCAAACTTCGTTTGAATCGAAAAGTTTACCATTCAAAGAATTTTGCAGTGACCGAAACAAATGATAATCGGATGGTGCTAGATCAAGTGAATGTGGTGGATGCGGTAGGAAATCCTATCTAAGCATTTACAGCTTCTGGCGAGTCATTAAACTTATGTGAGGTCCAGCGTTGTTATGATGAAACACATCTTTTTTGTTCGTCAATTCTGGTCTCTTTTGCTCGATGGAATTATTCAATTTGTCCAATTGATGACAATACATATTCGAATCAATCGTTTGGTTGTTTGGTAGCAGCTCAAAAAGAATCATTCCTTTCCAATCCCACCAAACAGAGAGCATCTTCTTTTAATGGATCAGCTCAGCTTTCGATGTGCTTTAATCTGGTTCAACACGTCTGCTCCATAATCGTTTGCGTTTGATGTTGTTATACACAATTCATTTTTCGTCTCCAATTATGAGTCGCTTCAGAAATGGATCGTTTTCCCCACGTTTCAGCAGCAAATCGCAGATGGTAATGCGACGAATCAAATCTCTTTCTTTGAGAACGTGTGGAACCCAAATGTCGATATTTAAAACAAAATCAAGTTGTTTCAAATGCTCATGCACAGTCGAATTCGATAAATTCAATCTCTCAGCAATGTCTCATGTAAATAACGATTTGCGTCCACCAGTATCTTTATTTGATTTTCATCAGCCTCAACTGGCCTTCCAAAACATGGTGCATCTTTGAGGTCGAAATTCCCAAAACGAAATTTCGAAAACCAATTCTGGCACTGGCGTTCAGTCAACACATCCTGCCCATACACAGCACACAATTTTTCTCTTGCTTGTGCTGCACTTTTGCCTTTATGGTAATAAAAAAGCAAAATGCTCACGTTGATCTTCCATTTTTTATGCGACGTCAAACGAAAACAACTTGACAAAAGAATTTTTTTTCAAATGAATCTTGAAATGTACAGGGTGTAACAGCAACATACAGATCAGTATGACGGGTTGCTTGCCCCTATTTGGATGATAATGCAGAGGTTGCCGAAAAAGTCACTCGTTGACTTTGTTGATAATCAAGAGGCACGGTAGTGCCTATTATACGCGAAACTGCGAGTTGAAACGAGGTGAGATATTCATATCTCAGCAATGGCTGAACCGATCGAGGTTTTTTAGTCCCAATCGATTCGGTCTTAAAAAATAGGAAGCAAAATGTTTTTGTGATTTTTGTGTACGTTGTCTCTAAGTGGAGGTATTTTAAGATAAAATCCGAATCACGGAAAATTTCGATTCAGTAAGAAAGTAAGAAATTTCGGACGCATAAGAGTAGGGATATGTGCATCTCGCTTTTCCGACATCAGGGGTGCTACGAGAGCGCTGAACAAGCAGACAGTAGCGAATGCGAGCGTGTAAGCGAGGGATATGCTATAGAATACAATATAGGACAAAATGTGCGAGAGAGAGAGAGAGAGAGGGAGAGAGAGAGGAAAGAGGGGGTGAGAGAGAGGGGAGGGGGAGAGGAAGGAGAGAGGGAGGGAGGGAGAGAGAATGAGGAAGAGTGTGAAGGAGTGAGAAAGTGAGAGAGTGAGGGAGTGGGAGAATGAGAGAGTAAGAAAGTGTAAGATATACGTACACATATGTACGTACATACAATACATTCGTACATACATATGTACGTACATACGTACATAGATACATACGTATCTACATAGATAGATATATACATATGTACATACGACATACATACATATATATATAGGTATATACGTATGTACATATTACGTACATATATACGTACATATATATACGTATATATGTACATACGTACATACATACATACATGTACATAAGTATTAACGTATGTATGAACATTTGTATGTACGTATGTATGTACGTATGTACATACATATATACATACATACATACATACATACATACATACTTACATATATATTTACGTATATACATATATAGATACATACGTACTATGTACATACATACCTATATTGATATATACATATGCACATACGTACATACATGCGTACATATAAATGTTCATACATACGTAAATACTTTCGTATATGTGTACATACATATGTACATATATATACGTATATACGTACATATACGTAAGCATTTTTTAGGTATTGTCCGCGTCCACGTCTACGTGTACGACAATATTTGCGAATATTTAGCTTTTCCCAACATTTGTGCCTCTTGGTATATATGTTTACATATTCGTAATAACATATATATACACGTATATTGTTATGTTCTTGAATAGCGTTATCAAGGTCACGTGTAATCTAAACAAAAAATTCGTAAAGTAAATGATAGTCCATGGACGTTATAAAAAATAATTGCTTTCGTACAAGAACCTCATGTAAATGTTCGTAAAAATACCGCTTGGGTTATACGAGGTTTCCAAAATACAGATAAAGTTTCATCCTACGCAAATTCAGTATTGCAGTGTCTTTTGCATTTCAGCGTCTGTAGAAAACAAATATTTAATTGTGATAAAATTAATGTTTTAGATGTATTACTATATCGATATGAAAATGGAATGCATGACTTAAATACGTATGGAATATGACAATATATAGGACAGAACTTTTCGAATACTGTAAAATATGATGCATCGGAATTTCTTCAAACCCTATGTGACAAATGTGAATATTTAAAGAGTTTAGTCGAGCATCAAGTAACTTCCACTACAAGATGCAAAAGTTGTGATTATACAAATATAGTTACAACGAATAATATTTTTATATCAATTCCTATCATTAATTTACGGAAAAAGAGTTATGATCTTAACGATTTATTAAAGATTACTTTCCCGTACTCGTGTGACTCGTACAAGGAATCATGTAAAAATTGTACAGGAAATGACATGTTATTTAAAAGTGAAGTAACATTGACAAGACAAATACTTATCATTCATTTCCCATTATTTTCACCAGAAGATGGTAAAGATATGAAAATAAACAAATTTATTCTGCGTGCTGTCCCAACAACTAAAGTATTAGTAGCAAGACAGTTATATAAAGTAATGAATGCCATATTTCATCATGAATCGTGCATTACAAGCGGTCATTACACAAATATATGTAGAGAAGGTAAATCTGATTGGATTGAAGTTGATGATACACAAATAAGTAAAAAACACTGGCCCAGAGGCGCTACAAATGTTTATATTCTCTTCATGGCAAAAATTTAATACGTTTATTAATAGTATCCAATATTTAAAACAAATATCTTTTTAAAAGCTATTATTATTCAAGAAAAACCTAACGACAAAAAATGTACGTAACATAAATTTTTACATGTAAAATTTATTATAAAACTTACCTTTTTAAACAAAAAGGTAAGAAAAGGCGCCAAGTACAAGCGTAACACGTATTGTGTTATTTTTAGAAGTATCAAACTCAAATTATTTTTTTTAAGGTATACATGTGTACATAACAAGTTTTTACAAGTAAAATTTATAACTATAATAAAACTCTGCAACATTCTACTACACAAAAGAATTATATTAGAACAGTAGCGCCACTGAGAAACCTAACATATATATATGATTATTGTATACTTAACTTAATATTTTTAGAAATCTCAAATTCAAATTATTTTCTTTTTTAAGATATATATTATAATATATGTACATAAATTTCTAAATGTAAAAATTATATCATGTTATAAAAATTTAACACGTTTGTTAATAGTGTCCAATATTTAAAAAAAATATCTTTTTAAATATTATGTACATAACATAAGTTTTTATAAGTAAAACTTATCAAATTATTTTTTCTGTAAGATATATATGTACATAAACTTTTAAAAGTAAAAATTATATCGTGTTATAAAAATTTAACACGTTTGTTAATAGAGTCCAATATTAAAAAAAATATCTTTTTAAAGGTTATGTTTAAAGGTTATGTTATCCAAAATATTCAAGAAAACCTAGCTTCAAAAAATGTCCATAACATAAATTTTTACAAGTAAAATTTATCACTATTTATTAGAACACAGAGTTATATGGTTATTTTACTTGTTATTGTAACAAATTAATTGTTATAACAATACAATAAAAAATATTTAATACAAAAGATCTTGGCGCGGCTGCACCAAAAACTATATCGAACTAAAACTTGTTTAATACATATATGACAGCATTTTTATGATTAACCCAATATTCAGATTCTCCGATATTTGGAGCAAAAAGATCGGGAGAAAAATTGGAATAAAAATCTGACATACTCGCGACACTCGGCTGGAATCACGTCCGTGCAGCTTAAATTGCGACTTATCGACAAGATGTAATTTCCCGTGGCGATCCGCGAGGGAATTTGGACCTTTCGTTCTGTTTTCGCTTTCGCTTTCGGGGACGCTTTAACAGCTTCGCATGCTGTGCAATGCCGCTTCACATCGATACAGCGCTGATTGCTCCACTCGCGATCGCTCGTCGTCGTGCAACGTTCCAGAGTGTATACATCTCTCCCGCCCCCCTCTCTCTCTCTCTCTCTCTCTCTCTCTCTCTCTCTCTCAGTCGGCCTCTTCCTGTCTTTCTCCGTCGAAAGGCGCACGTTCGTCGGATTCATCGTCATTATCGGCAAACTAGTTCGCGAAGTGCTTCCCCTATTTTCCTACTGCTTGCCGGCGTTTGCTCGTTACGCTCGTCCGTTTCTCCGCTAACAGACCCTTACGTCGGCGCTTTCCGAGGCAGAGGCCAGGCGGGGCAGGTCGACGGTTATCGTAGAGCCGGCTGGGAAAAGGTTTAGTATTCTTTCCACGACACACCGGCGGCGGGCGACTCACTCTCGTTCTCTGACGCGCCAGCCGTTGCAGATTGCGAGGTCGCGGCAGTCTTCGGGCTTTCATGCAGTTATCCGACCGGTGTCCAGCTTGTCGTGACGACGGAGCATTGGCTTGATGAATTCGCGTTATGCCAGTCCCGTTCGTGCGTTCGTCCGGATCAGCGTGACACGCGAGGCAACTCCGAGGAGCCGGCGCGCACTTGCGCAGGAGAAACTCGGAAGGCTCCTCCTTTTGGGAATTTTCTTCAGAATGCGTCCAGCAAGATAACCTTCTTCCTCCTTCCACGCTCTTAGCACCTCGTTAGCAATCCTTTCAACGTCAACCGTCGACAAAAACAGCCGCCATCTTGCGCGGCAGGTATCGATACACTCGCCACGAAGAATTATTTCGGAATCCTCGCTCCAATTTGTTTATTTTATTTATTTTTTAATTTTCTCAACAAATCACCGTCAAGCATTTTCGATACTCCGGCTATCTCTGCCGGATCAAGACGCGTCTAGAAGCCAAGGGCGATCAGTTAATCAGCTGAAAGCGAGAGACCGATCGGATAATCAAGATGTCCCGTTCCCGCGCTCTTACTCACACGACTCTCTCCCACCTTGCCCGCAGGTGCACCCGGTGGACTCGCCGTCGAAGAACGTGGACGGTATCCGGCTGCACGGGGGTGGCTACGGCGCGACGGTGACCACGTCGTCCGGCACGTCTGGCGGTACCGGGAGCGTGAGCCTCTCCTCACCGGAGAGCGCTTACTCGACCGGCTACTCGACCGACGGCACCTCGCCCGGCACCAGCTTCCCGCCAGAGTACTACATCAACATCAGGACCGGCACCCACTACTTCCAGAGCAACGGTGGCGGCAGCGGTGGCGGTAGCGGCGGTGGCGGTGGCGGCGGCGGCGGCGGCGGCGGCGGCGGCGGCGGGGCTAACAACAATAACAACAACAACAACAACAATAATAACAGCGGCGCCCTCGGCGGCGGCAAGGCGAGGCCGAAAAGGGTGCAGGCCGACGTCGCGGACCCGTCGGCCGCCGCACCGGGAAATGGAAGAGTCGACGGTAATCGAGCGCATTCCGCGAACACGACGAACATGAGCAGGGACAACGGTCAGCCGGAAGTACGGACGAGCACCCCTCATAAGGTAAGTGCGCGTTGTGTCCTTGAGCTGAGACGACAATTTCTTTTTCGGCGATTTTCACGATTCGCCTTCGAGCCGCGTGAATTATCGGGTCTTGGCGATTTCTTTGTTCTCATTTCGTCGGACGAGTTGATTCTCGGGATATCGGCCAGCGGAAACGGTTTGCGAGTCGGTTTTCAGTTTCTTAACTTTCCAACTACCGAAGAAGAAAATGTTTATTTGTTTTTCTTATTGGAGGTATGCAAAAGTTTCTATCGTTTTTAAGGCAATGTTTTTTTTTATTAATATTATTATAAATGACATAGTATCTTCAAAATATATTCCAAAATATTATCTAGATTTTGCCATCTCTCAGGCGAAAGATGGATATCAAAGGAAGTCTTTGTTCTTAAAATGAATGAAGTTATCGATGAATCGTTGCACTTGCTCAACATTGCGAAATCGTGTACCAGAAAGACTGTGCTGCACAGAACGAAATAAATGAGAATCCGATTGGGCAATATCTGAAGAATATGCCGGGTGTGCTAGGACTTTCCATTGCAGTTCCATTAAAGTTTCTCGGGTCGTCAATGCAACATGGAGCCTGGCATTGTCGTGCAGAAGAATCACTTTGTTTTGCTTTGTCGCAAAATATGGCCGTTTCTCGATCAATTGCTCATTCAACTGCCTCAGTTGTCGACTGTATATTGGGTATGGGAATAAGTTTTCGTCCTTTTCAGAAAGATATCGCTAGTGGTACTAATTTCGTGTTTGATGGAACGGCTATATTTCTGTTTTGAAGGTGTATTTATAAGCTTTGAATCACAGTAGTAGACATTCGTTTGAAGAAGAAGTAAACATCATTTTTTTTTCACGTCGAAAATGGCAACATTTGTCCCAACGAAGCAGCATTTGCGGGAAGTGTTACTCCATTATTATATTCTGAAGAAAAGTGCTGCTGAAACGCATCGAATGCTTGTTGATATTTACGGCGATCATGCTCCTTCGAGTACCACGTGTAAAGAGTGGTTCCGGCGTTTTCGAAGTGGTGATTATAACGTGAGCGACCGAGAACGCAAAGGGACACTTAAAAAATTCGAAGATACACAACTGCAAGATTTACTCGAAGAAGATCCGAGTCGAACGCTTGAAGTTAGTCGTTTCAAACGAGTTAAATGTTGATAGATCTACCGTCGGAAAACGTTTACATGCGTTGGGAATGGTCCAAAAATCAGGAAATTGGGTGCCACATCAATTGAAGGAGAGAGACATTGAAAGACGTCTGGTGACGTGCGAGATGCTGCTTCAAAGACTAAAAAGGAAGGGTTTTCTGCATCAAATTGTCACTGACGATGAAAAATGGATCTACTACGACAACCCCAAACGACTGAAATCATGGATGATGCCAGGTGAACCAGGTCCATCAACTCCAAAACGGAATATCCACGGTTCGAAAGTTATGTTATGCATCTGGTGGGATCAGAAGGGCGTTATTTATTATGAGCTTCTAAAACCGTCCGAAACCATCACTGAAGATTGTGACCGACTGCAGTTAATACGTTTGAACCGAGCTTTAAAAAAGAAACGACCGGAATGGAATAATAGGCTGATTCTGCTACACGATAACGCTAAGTTGCAAAACCAGTCCAAAAATACTTGGAAGGATTGAATTGGGAAATCTTGCCCTACCCGCTATATTCACCAGATATTGCTCCTTCGGATTTCCACTTATTTTGATCCATGCAGTCGGTGCTTTCTGGAGAGCGGTTCACTTCTCATAAAGGTATCGAAAAATGGCTTAATGAATGGATCGAGTCAAAAGAACCTGATTTTTTCTTCGAGGAATTCGTTTACTACCTGAAAAATGGGAGAAAGTTGTCACTTCCAATGGGGCGTACTTTGAATAAAATCATTTTGTATTTTTTTGTTTAAATAAACGACTAATTTGTATTTAAAACGGGCGGAAACTTATTCCCATACTCAATAATTCCGCGGTGATAGTCTGAGATGATTACAACAAATGATGATACAACAACTCATCATACAGCGTTCCTTGCATGTCCCATCAGATACACAGGAGAACCTTATGACCATGGATATTTTGTTTTGGCTGTGACGTAGAGAGTTTTCCGGGATTTACTGCGATTTTACCACGATTTTTTGCGATTGTGATTGTCATAATAAATCCATTTTTTGTCTTTAGTCATTCGATATAAAAAAAGACTTGTGTCTCTGTCTATTGAGCAGCGAAAGGCAAATGGTGACTCGACTGGCAATAGCATTCTCGAATAATTCATGAGGAATCCATTTTTCTTCCTTCAGAATTTTCTCCATCTTATACAAGCGTCGAATTACAGTGCTCTAATTAACGTGTAACCTTTTCTACACTCAAGTTCTACACTCGATTGAATCGAATTCGTGCAATGTGCTTCCAAGTCATCCGAATTTATCTTTTGCAGTCGCCCAGCACGCTCCTTGTCTTTCAAGTTAAAATCGCCATTTTTAAAGCGCCGAAACCACTCGCGACATGAACTTTCAACTATTATTTCCTCATCATAAGTTTCGCAAATGATTCTGGTTGCTTCGCCAGCTATTTTGCGCTGATGAAATAAAAAAGCATGCAATGACGAATATGCGTCTTATCGACTTTCATCAACATACGAATTAAATGATTTCATATGACTTATTATGTATCAGTTTCTATGCAGGTTCATTAATACTGACACAATCTAACAAAAATGCGTCGCAACTTTGTGTGTAAATAATTGTAAATAATTCACAATGCTATCTACACGTGAATGATGGCAATTTTTGCGTACTTCTAATAATTTTATTCCGCGTTCACAGAAAAGTATGCAAAAAATGCATCGTTATATGCATTTGAGTAATTTTTACGAAAGACTACAGACGTTCAGTTCCGATGGCTCGATAATTAAATTTAATTAAATTTAATTAAAGCGTTGAAGAGACTGGAAAAATGTCGATTCGAGGGGATGAAACTCGGTGCATCTCCCTATAAATTCTGTTCGGTGTTTTCTCACGAGAAATAATATTGGTGAACATCACACACACAAAGAAAAGCATTTTCATCAATGACATCCTTGAGATTTGATTTTTAATGCATCGTTCAATTGAATATGCCGATCGGCACAATACACGATATTTTCGGCAAAGAGCAATCTCGCAAAATCGCGAGTTCTTCGCGAGATCGACGAAAATTGCAAACTTCGCTCTCACGTGAGCGGCTCCCCGGCGCACAATGGAAACAATGGGAACAAATAGAAATTTACTGTTCAAAAATCGCTAGAGACCACAATTTTATAGCAATCGGGACGCTTTTTTTTTAATTAAACGTTAATCAATGTAGAAAAAAATTGTCGAGCCCGATTTTTGAAAACATTCTTTTAAATTTTGTAGTATTAAAAAGAATTTATAAGAAATTATCAGTTTTGCGAGCCTCTGTTACAAATGGAAAAACTTTCCATCTTTTCGCTGCGTAGTACAGTGTATTAAGGTTTTCAGCATCGCTGATTACGAATGTGATATAAAAATCAGAATTTGACAGTTAACAATTGCTAATCTCCTGTCAATAAACACAAAATCATTGTTTTAACACAGTATATACATTGCAATAGAGTATACAAAGCCGTTCAACATAAATGTGAAGTCTGATATGAAGTATGATAAAAATAACAAATTCAGCGGAAAAAAGTTGCAAAATAATTTGTTTATAACAAAGTTGTTTAAACAATGTATTTAGAAAATGATTGTTTGGAAAACCTGATGCTTGGTGATTTGAAAACATCAGATCAAAGCTACATATTTGGTTTTCGTGAGAACAATCCTGTTGCGAACAAATTATTTTGCAACTTTTTTCCGCTGAATTTATTATTTTTATCAGACTTCACATTTACGTTGAACGGTTTTGTATACTCTATTGCAACGTATATTGTTGTGTTAAAACAATGATTTTGTTTATGTTGACAGGGGATTAGCAATTGTTAACTGTCAAATTCTGATTTTTATATCACATTCGTAATCAGCGGTGCTGAAAATCTTAATACACTGTATTGCGCAGCGAAGAGATGGAAAGTTTTTCCGTTTGTAACAGAGGCTCGCAAAACTTGATAATTTCTTACAAATTCTTTTTAATACTGCAAAATTAAAAAAAATGTTTTCAAAAATCGGGCTCGGCAGTTTTTTCTACATTGATTAACGTTTGATTTAGAAAAAAAAAACGCATCCCGATTGCTATAAAATTGTGGTCTCTAGCGATTTTTGACAGTAAATTTCTATTTGTTCCCACTGTGCGGCGGGCCCTTAATTAGAACCTCGTCTGAGACTCGCGCTATGAATGGAGATGCGAATTTTTGCCGAGACGCCTCGATATAATGTATTCACAGAGGAACGAGTCGGCCGTTCTCGCGCGCGCGCGCGTGTGCGCGCGTGCTTTTCAGTTTTCCGCCCTCAAATAGTTTATAGACCGAAAGTAAATGCGCTTCGAGTTCGCCGCGTGCGCGCGAGCGAGAGAAAGATTACCGTAGTCGTTTCTCGCTCAAACACACCCCCGCGCGCGCGCTCGCTCGCTCGCTCTCAGCACAGCGAGTCTTCAGGGTGCGTTTGTTCGGCGCGCAGGCTCTTTGAAGCCGCGGGAGTTCAACGACATCCGGCCTCTTTCGTCTAGCAGGAAGTATACATTCCGGAGTGGCGTTTACCGTCGCTCGTGTACGTGTATATCTATATCGTGCACGAGAAACGCGCTGCAGTTCATGAATCCCTCTTTCGGCGGTGGATCCCATGAGCCCGGCCGAGAAGCGATGGTAAAAGCCGCGGTTCGCGTTTTCTTTATGAGATGTGCGCCGCGCTGCCTTCGTCACGGAGGCACGCTCGCAGCGACTGATATTGTTGCACTTTTCCGAAAAACAGCCGCCGTCGAGCCGGCGGAAGTTTCGGAGACACTGCTCGGTTCGCGCTTTCTCTCCAGCCAGCTCTGTCTCTCCGCTTCTCTGTCTCTGTCTCTCCTCCGTGAAATCTCACCTGAGACTGAAAAAGAGGAAGATGCATTATTGTCGCGAAACGTGCGCCCGGATATCGAGCCTTAATGGCCGGCAGCGGTAAAAATGAACCCTAATCCTTCCGCCTCTTCTGGGCCGTGATCGATCTCGCGTTGCGCTCCACGTCGTCGTCGTCGTCGTCGTCGTCGTCGTTGTCGTCGGGGACTCTCGTCTCGCTACAATGAAGAGAAACGATCGGGCTTGCGATTTAGATTTAGATTTAGATTTAGATGGACGATCAGTCCGAAAGTATACACGCGGGGACAGAGTGATGGATGCAAGGGGTCTTTCGAAGAGGGCGTTCTCTCCGTGATGGAAAAAGCGCGAGAGGAAATTCCCCGACACTCTTCCGCGGGAACACGGACGAATTGACCGGCGGATTAACGCAAGGCTAACTCCGTCGCGACACGAACGATCGTGTTTCCAATATATTAGGTGTGTGAATTAATTCGGTCCATCTGGCGGTCAATTGCTGTACTATATAATTTTCTAACCTCTAATGTCTGCAAAAGGCTTTGTTTTTTAGTTTTGATATCTGGCAGTAATATTCAGTTGATAAACGTTTGGGTTTGTAACAATAACATTGTGTTTATCTGATTCAAAAATGTCGAAATTCGAGCTAAAAAAGCATAATTTCAGGGAAGTTCTCATTTTCTGTTTTCATTTGAAGAAAACAGCCGCTGAAGCTCATCAAATGCTCGTAGAAGCTTATGGTGAAAGTGCTCCCACCGATAAATCATGCAGAGAATGGTTTCGACGTTTCAAAAGTGATGATTTCAGTGTCGATGACAAACCCCGTCCAGGTCAGCCGAAGAAGTTCGAGGACGAGGAATTGCAGGCGCTAATCGATGAAGATCCGTGTCAATCGTAACATGAGCTCGCGCAATTGTTGAATGTTGATCGATCAACAATGTCTATGCGTTTGGCAGCCATGGGAAAGATTTACAAAGGAGGAAGATGGGTGCCATACGACCTGAAAGAAAGAGACACCAAGAGGCGAAAAGCCATGTCTGAAATCTTGCTTGCCAGGCAAAAAAGAAAAGGTTTTTTGTATTGTATTGTGATTGGAGACGAAAAGTGAATATATTTCGATAATCCCAAACGAAGGAAATCCATTAGCGACCCCGGAAAACCATCCACATCGATACCAAAGCAGAATATTCACGGCAAGAAAGTAATGCTCTGTATATGATGGGACCAGAAAGGTGTAGTGTATCATGAACTATTAAAACAGAGCCAAACCATCACTGCCGAACTTTACCAACAACAATTGATCCGTTTAAACAACGCATTGAAGAATAAGCGGCCGGAATATGCAAAGAGACAAGACAAAGTGATCTTCCAGCACGATAACGCTCGGCCACATGTTGGAAAGATTGTGAAGGCCATTTTGGAAGCACTTGGGACGTTTTACCTCACCCGTCATATTCACCAGACATTGCTTCATCCGATTATCACTTGTTCAGATCAATGGCGTACGGGCTTTCGGACTTCAACAATTATGAAAAAATAGAGAAATGGCTCAATAAATGGATCGCTTCGAAGGACGAGTCGTTTTTCCGTCACGGAATGCAACAACTGCCAGACAGATGGGAAAAAATAATAGCAAGCGATGGCAAATACTTTGATTAGTGTACTTTTTTATGTTTTTTCATACTAAAGTCTTTTTTTGGAAGAAAAAAACGGATTGAATTAATTCACACACCTAATATGTCCCTCGGCTCGGCGCGAGTTAGATTTTCGATCGGTCGCGCGTACACTTTTCTTCTTTTTTTCTGCCTCTGCCGACTGTGATAGTCGCAGAGAACTCATTCGGGGATCAGTTTAGCGAGACCGGAAGAACTGATTTCGTTTGAAAATGACATAAATGTGTGAAGTGCGGGACAAAACATTTCTCTCCTCGCGGAGTTTTCGGATGAATATTTCCCTACGGTAATGTCCGTTGTGTCTCGTCGACAATGTCGGAGTTAAAAATGAGGGTGTGAACGTTGCTATCCGTAAATAAAGCACCTTTGGCCGCAACTTGGACTAACTTTTCAGCATCCAAAATAAAGTAACTTCAAAACAAACGGAATCATCTAAATTTTAGAGGATTTTACTCTTATACATGGCCTCAAAAGGATTTCTCTAAAATTAAAAGGAAAATATTATAAACACATTACTCTTAAAGTTAGAGGAATTATATGTTATATGTATAATGCAAATCTTCTTGATTTTTAATATAAATTTATATTAATATAAATTTAGATTAATATAAATTTCCTCTTATACACAGATTATTTAATTTCTTTTAAGAGGATTATTATTTATTCTTACTGGCTGTACTAGTTAATTTGAAAAAATTATTATAATGTATAGCGAAAAGTAACATATATAGATGTACTTCTGGCTACAGTTCTACAATAAGTAGGCACAAATGAAATAAAATCATCATATTGGGTATTAAACTTAATTTTAAAGGATTTACAAGAGATGGCGCAATGAGCACCTAATGGCATCGGCTCATACTGTAGCCAACTTCATATGAAAGCCCTGTCATTAGGCTTTAAGAATCAATATATTTCATTTGGTCGAAGTGTAAAAACATACTTTTTTTAGCGCATTCAATATGTCGAATTTGTGCCAACGAAACGCAATTTGCGGGAAGCGTTACGTTTTTGTTTCCATTTGAAAAAATCGGCAGCTAAAAGTCTTCGTTTGCTGTCCGAAGCTTATGGGGATTATGCTCCATCGATCTCAACTTGTGAGTACTGATTTAGACGATTCAAAAGTGGAGATTTTCCACTTATCCATCATTCGAAGGTAATGCTCTGTATTTGGTGGGATCAGAAGAGTGTGGTCTATTATGAGCTGTTAAAACCTGGCGAAACCATTATTGGGGACCGTTATCGACAACAACTGGTACAGCTGAACCGAGAATTGAAAGAAGAACGACCAGAATACGCCAAAAGACACGACAAAGTGATTTTCCAGCATGACAATGCTCGGCCACATATCGCTAAACCAGTGAAAGAAACGCTAGAGCTGCTCGGATGGGATGTTCTACCTCACCCGCCGTATTCACCAGACATTGCTCCTTCTGATTTCCATTTGTTTCGATCCATGCAGAATAACCTTTCTGCTCAGCACTTCAGTTCTTTAGGAGATATAAAAAAATGGCTCGATTCATGGATAACCACAAAAGACGAGTCGTTCTTCCGCTCAGGAATCCGCCTTTTACTAGAAAGATGGAAAAAAGTTGTAGCTAACGATGGACAATACTTTGAATAACATGTACTTATCACTTTGTTTCGAAATAAACGTCCATTTTCACAAAATATCCTTTAAAATTAAGTTTAATACCCAATAACAAATAAATTTCCAATTAGTTTTGTTACAGTCTTCATAGCTACAAAGATGTTTATTATAACCAATTGTGTGAAACATAGTTAAAAAAAGAATATATTATTCAACTTCTTGCAATAGATTATAAACTGTATTTGACCAAATATGGGTAAATTATCTTCGTCATATGTTACAGCAACACACATACCATTTTTAAAAAAACGTTCCAAATATTCTGACCCATCAGTATATGATTATTTTTTCATTTATGTCTGGAGGTAGAACATGACTGAACAAAAACACCGACGTTCAAATCAGCATATTCCTTTTCATATAAGAAGATAATTAATTGATATAAGAGGAAATCTTGAAATAAGAGGAAAACAGTTAGAATAATATCTAATAAATTTTAGATGAATGGTCCACTGTAATCGCTTTATGGAAAGAGGAATCCTTTTCCTGTAAGAGGCTTTGCTTAGAATACGAGACTATGGGAAAAATCACTTTACGAATAGAATACTTTTCTTGGGTAAGTCAGTTTTAGTGGCTTTTTAAACGTCCATACTTTCTATTGAATCCTCAGAGCGCAGAGACGAACCATGCTCCGAGACAGCAGCAACAGCAACAGCAACAGCAGCAGCAGCAGCAGCAGCAGCAACAGCAATCAAGGCAGCAGGAGAGTTCGCATCGCAGGACGGAGTCGTACTCCGCCGATTCGTCGAGGAACAGCCTGCCCGTGCCATCGTCGATACCGCCGCCGTTGGTCTCACCGCCGGTGCAGTCGCCCCGCGAGCGGTCGCGCATCCGGACGAACCCGTGGCTATCGGCGAACTCGTCCGGCTCCAGCACGAACGGCCTCAAGTCCCGGCTCACCTTGGACGAGAGTAGCAGCAGCTCTGGCCTGAAGCTCACCGAGTCGTCCGGCAGCGCGAGCGACGTCAACCTCAACCTGAACGGCAGGGAGCTCCAGGTCAGCAGAAAGGAGCATCGCCAGGAGAGCCTGAGCGCAGGCCGAAGCCCGTGAGTACCGCGAGATCGCGAATGTGAGGCGGCTAATGTGGGGTACAAATTGTAGGGGTGAATTAAGGAGGAGGTCGAGAGGCTCTCTCTCTCTCTCTCTCTCTCTCTCTCTCTCTCTCTCTCTCTCCCTCTCTCTCTCTCTCTCTCTCCCTCTCTCTCTCTCTCTCTCTCTCTCCCTCTCTCTCTCTCTCTCTCTCTCTCTCTCTCTCTCTCTCTCTCTCTCTCTCTCTCTCTCTCTCTCTCTCTCTCTCTCTCTCTCTCTCTCTTCTCCCTTTTTCCGCGCGAATTTCGGAGACTCCAGAATTTTCTTTCCGAGCGGACCTCGAAGAGAGGCAGAATCGCTGCGCAAATTACAGCGAGACGAGTTACGGTAAAAGGTTACACGATTGATGAAAATGAGAGCGGAGAGACACGAAATGCGCATAGCTGGAGCGCGCGCGGTTCGCGAGGGGAGGCCAATTTTACCGAGCGTCATTTTCCGCGAGAAGAAAAGAATACATTTTGCAGAGTGGGCGCAGTAAAAGTATCTGGAAGAAGAGAGAGGAACTGTAGAACCCCCGAATAAATACGATGTAAATGCGCGGAGCAGCCGTTCGAGTAACTGCAACGTGTGGAATAACGAAGATACGGGGAAGGGAAGTTGACGAAGGAAAAAGAAGGAATTGCCGCGTATTTCTGCAGCTGCATATTATGTCCTTCGACGGCGATCCAGTTTTTCACGGGGCAAACTTTTAATTGCACAAGTTGCCGGCTGTTGGCCGGAGGAAGGTGTACGCTCTCGCGGGGTGTCTTCCTCTCCTGAAATTCATCAACCTTCCAGTCTCCTCTTCGGCAGATCGGCCAAGGTAGAGGAGCACTTGATGGAAAAGTCAGCGGTTAGGAAAGTTGACGGGGAGAAACGGGAAAGACTCGCGAAATTACTTTATTAGCCGTTGATCCGACGCGCAGTTGTGAGAACGCAATTCAGTCTTGGAGTCGCGGTCGCGCCGGTCACATCTCGAGTAGAAAAGTTAACAAGGCTCTGGTAAAGATCTGATTATTTTTCTTTAACATTCGAGCCCTAGTAGGGATAGAAAGACAAGAACCCTGCAAGATATGTAGCAAATGTTTTAACGGGTCCTTATAAGGCAATATCATAAGGGCTTTATTAAATAATATCAACAGGACCTTATCAGGATCAATATTAACCCTCAACGTTCACACTTTCATGGTAAGAAACAACGTTCACACTGGAGTCCAAAAGTCCAAAGCCCAAAGCAACGACTTTGAACTATTGCTATTTTGAAACTATTAAGAAATTTAAGTTGAAGAAATTTATAAACCTTCTTTAACCCTTTAACTGCTGAAATTATCATGAATATTAAATGACCAGTATGACCCTCTTTGCTGAGTTATTTTTACGATTATAAAATATTTTATAATGATAAGAGATGGCACTATATGCCCGCTCAATTCAAATGCTTTTTACAAACTAAATTAAATGGGTAACGCATGGGTATTACACATTGAAAGTCCAAATCGAGTAAATTCGATCGTAGCAAGGCCACTATTTTTTTGCACACTCGAGTTATCTCGACCGTAGCAGTTAAAGGGTTAATTCGAGCAAAATAAGAACAAAATCATTGCAAAATCATTTTACATTACTTAAATACCAAAAAAATTCGCAAAAAAAAGAAACTTGAAAAATGACTTTTACATAAAAATTCATAAATTTTTTTTATTTCAATATCTTAAGCTAAAAATTTATGGACATACTCTAGAGATATGACACTTTAAGAAAAAAAAATAGTTTCATAATAGGCGTTCCAAAAAACATGTTTATTTTGAAATATGAAGAAGGTCATTTTTCAAAAAAATGGAAATCAGGAAATATGCAAAATATTTATATTTTCTATTACCAAATTATTATGAATGTGGTAAATCTGATAAGAAATACTTATTTTATTATTTCAGAAGTAAGAAAATGTCTTGTTAAAATAACATATTTAAATTTATTGATCCATATTACCACAATCAACGCAAAAAAAAACGCGGTGCTCATCGCACATGGGCCGCTCGCATGAAAGACACGCAATTTTGGTTTTCTTGTCTTTCTGTCTCTTGCACAACAAGCATCTTACTTTTCTATCTAATTCAATGCGTTGTAAACCTTCAAAGATAAGTGTATGCATTTTCAAAATGCCTGCAATTGCTGCCTTCAAATCTCTGCAGATTGTTATATTTGTATCGTCGCTTGAAATATTAATATATCGGCTCAAATCCTTAGAAATCGATCGCTGTACGATCGCGTTTTGTTTGTCGCCTTACCAAAGGAGCTACCAAAAGAGCTCTTCGAATCAAAACAATCTTTGTCGCGAAGCTCTACGACAAATTTTTATCGGCTTTCGCGAGTTTCGCGATCGCCCAGCTCGATCCAAATTATAATTTGTTCTGTTCCAGTTAATTTTCTGGAACATAGCCAGAAATCGTTTGAAAATTGCACCAAAAAATTTCCAACGTCATCTACTTAACACTTACATTTTTTATTGACTTTTTAATCACTTTATTAACAAAAAAAAATTGTAAGATTTTTTCAAAAAAGAAACGCTTCGTTCATACTGGAGTCTGAAGTACCCCAAAATCCGATAGGTTAACTTTGATCAATTGTCAAACGGAAACTGACAATTTTCAAACTAAGCCAGGTATTCTAATTAAAAGAGGATTCCTTGAAATAACACTAAATGGCAGGTCAAGCTCAATTTTCAAGAAATTAGATATTGAAAAATTCAATCAAAAATATCTTGGAGTCCAATGGACCCTCAGTGAACGTTGAGGGTTAATAAGGCCTTGTAAGGAAATATTTTTATTATTGTTTGAGTAAAAATATTCGTTCTTTTCATTCCAAGAAATTTAGACTGTAATTTATTTATTTCTTTATAACTTTGTTAGTATATAAAAAGAATTTTTTATTTTAAAAATATAATTAATAAAAATATAATTAAAAATATAGCATACTTTACAATAATGTATAGCATTCTTTACACATAAAAATCCTGCTACTGTTTGCATTTCAAAATGACGATACTAGAAAAATCCTTGGAAGAGATTAATGAATATGGCAACTAATAAAACTAATAAAATTTGTTTTTAATTGCGGTGTAACTAAAAAATCTTTAAAAGAACCAGATAGAGCATACCTACCAAAACAATACTAAATTATGATCATTTTATTACACGCTTCAGATCTTATTAATTTTCTGTAACAAAACTTGATTTTGTATATCTAAAGCATCCTTTCTTAAAAGATCCTTCTAAGACCCATGTTCTAAGAACATGTTAAAGCGTTATTTCGTGGAATTTAAAGCATCCCTAAAAAATTCTTTTAAGGTCCTCATCAGTTTTCCATCTATCAAAGCCTTATTTATTAGATCTAAGTCATCCCTAAAAAATTCTTCTCTAAGGCCCTTCTCAGCTTTTTCTATCAAAGCCTTATTTCGTAAAATCTAAGGCATCTCTAAAAGATCCTTCTAAGATCCTTATCAGTTTCCCTATCAAAGCCTTATTTATTAGATCTAAGGCACCCCTAATGAATATCCTTCTAAGACCCTCATCAATCTTCCTTATTAAAGCCTCATTTCATAAAATTTAAGATATCCTTAAAAGATCCATCTCGGAGCCTTATGTGGTAATAATGAAGTATCCCTTTTTAGGACATCCTATTTTCAGCCTTATCGGGGCTTTATACTTCGTGAAGATGATCTTAACAATTTTTTGCTCCTAGGACCTCTCGGTCGGTTTGATTTCTTCCTCGCGATCGCGCTATCATCGCGCAAATTGCGCGCGTGCTTTTGTAATTCGTGTGACGTACGCTTGCGATTTGCACTCGATTAAAATCTGATTACGCGTGATACGCGCGTCCGCGCTGCCTGTCCAAGCGAGCGCCGGCTGACCGTGTGAATTACCTGCGCCTATTGTTACATCGATCATGACTTGGCAACAATTCAATTTGATACGAGGCCGAGGCTGACGCGAGACCGAGTTATTTTGTATTTACAATCGACGGGATGAAATGTAAAATTTCAGTATATTGAAACGGCGATCCCCGTGCAGAGAGATCGACTTTGTGTGATTTTGAGGCTTATGCAACGTAAATAAAGAATTAAACGGCATGCGAGATGGAAACACGAGAGCAAATACGAGTATCATCGTGAACATAAAATAATTTTATTTCATCAGCTTTTCCGCGTATGAAATTAAATTGACATGTCATAGGACCGGTTCACTAAATATTTTATACTCGCAGTCGACAATGTGAAACGACATTTCGTGCTGACATAACGATCTCTGATGTTTTTCTCTTATAAGTAACTTTATACATTCGATTTCAAGAGTTATAACACAGGTACAGAATCAAATGAGATAAAATCAAAACATGAAGTTTTTGTTCTGCGTAGTTTGATTTTGAAACGAAATTTTTATCCCATACTGACTATACAAATATCATTCTTCTTTCATTTATTGGGTCAGACAAAAAGTTTCTTTTCGTTCTCCGGGTCGAGTTTGACTTTATCGTATTTGGCGGAAATCCAATTTCGCCGACGTTCTGAAAAAAACAGAAAATTGGCAACGTGATGTGTCAACAATACAATATAATCGGTCCTCTGATCAGAAACTCATAAAGGTGTCCCACTTATTGACCTTTGGAAATTTAAAAAACAAGTTAACAAAAGTTGAAGCGCTATTGCGACAACTTATTCTTGAAACCAAATAGAATAGAATAGTCTAGTGCCCCATTTTTCTTTCCACAAATAGTTACCGAGATATCGAGATAAGCCAAATATTGAAAAAGTTTTCCTGAAATATCTAAAAAAATATTAGACGAATAAAAAAATGTTTCAGGCAAAAGTTGTCCGAATTAATTGATAGAAAAAGATGATACAATAGAAAATGGGGGTTTCCAGTCGAGAAAAGCGGTGATCAGCGAGTATTTCTCGCAAGTGGCGCCATCTGTGAACAAAATGATATCGCTGTCTAGTATAGACCGAACAACTTTTGCTCAAAATATTTTTTCATCCGACCACTTTCCGCAATGTTAATCTGGAGTGTACAATTAAAATGGGACAACCCATATAAGAGTATGGTCTTTATTGGATTAGCTTGATGGATTGCATCTCGCGCAGGATCAACCAAAACTGGAGGATCACCCCGGGCATGGATCTTCGACCGAAGATACCTCTGGCGCTGCAACGTCGTGCCAGCAGCAGCAGCTCCTCGGTATCGTCGGTGACGCGCAGCGTGCGCTCGTCCGAGGACGACATCACGCTCAACGAGATGATGGGTAAGTTCGACGAGAGCTACGTGTACGAGAAGGAGACGGACATCCTGTCGGACAGCGACCCAACTGACTGCGAGGACTACATAGACTCGTTGTCGGACATCGACACCGGTCAGGATGGCGGCGACGAGAACGACCCGTTCGAGAACGATGAACTCGACTACATCGACAACGGCTCCTTCCTCGACCTGGACAGCCTCGAGTGTGGTGGCCACTTCCCCAACACTGGTCATTGCACCTACTTTGCCTTTACCAGCGAGCTCAGCCGGCGCGGCACTAGGCTTCGCGAGTCCTTCCTCAAGCGCAGGACCAAGGACGAACTGATATCTCAGAGGTAAGTTTGATCGCGTGATTATTCCTTCGTAGACTTTGTGGACTTCGCGGCACTTTGTAGTCTCTCTTCTTCGACGTCCTCCGACGATACTCAGATTATGTTTCTTCTTGCTATCGTGTCATCGGTTACGACAGAAGCGCAAGCGCGAGGAACAGTGCGAAGAGACAGAGCACACGACACAAGAAGCTGGACGACAACAAGCAGAGCGAGAAACGCAAAAAGAGGATATCGCAACGTCGCAAGACGAATCTGGACAGATACGACGACGAGACTGCGAATCTGAACCGCGTGCTGGTCGAGAGGATGCTGCTGAAGAACTCGGGCTTCAACCAAGGCAGCAGGAGCGTGGGCGGCACGCCGATGTGCCTGCGACGCAAGAAACACGACGTCAACAAGAATCTCTCGCCGATGAGGCTGAACGGCAACCCGTCGGCCATCAGGCCCGCCGTGTTGGAGAACGAGGTCGTCAAGAGACGATCAAACTCGGTGAGGACCCGAGTTCAGTCGATATTCTATATTTTCCAACTTTTTCTTCTTTCTTTTTTATTTTTTACTTAAATAATATCGTCGCGTCCATTTCCGCTATATTCAAGATGTTGAAGAGTAGCTTATCAATTTTGTTTTCTTCCCTTCGCAGAGAAGAAAGACTTGACGTGTGACGAATCAAGCGCGTTTTGGTCGAAGGAGACAGGACTTCTATTTCTCAGGATTTTTAGGATCCTTCGTTGGTTTTTAGGTTCTTAGAGTTCATAACAGCAAGTTTGCTTCGTAAGAAACAAAAGTTCTGTTTCCTTGGACCAAAACGCATTTGGTTCCTTCTTGATCACGTTAATTCTTCACCAGTCGATCTTCTTTCCTCCTGTTCTTATTATCTTAGAAGCTCTCTAGAGATAGTATCAACGTCTTTCTCTTTCAGGTGAGCTACGTGAACGGCAACATCGTGAGACGTCATGTAGCCGGCAATACGTACATGACCACCTTCGCCTCGGAGATCGCGCTGATTGAGGCGGATAAGGAAGCCGACCGCAAGTATCGCGAGCTCATCCTCGAGGCAGAGAACATCCTGGTGAGTATGCAGAAATACCAGAATCCATCGCCCTGCGTGCCGTCGCCGTCGCGGAAGCTGCACAACGGCCTCGCGAACAAGCGGGTCGAGCTGATCAAGAACACCGAGCTGAACATCGAGCTGGCGCTGTCCAAGAGCCGCAACTCCCAGCCGGAGTTGCAGAGCGGCAGCATTCGTGATCTGGAGCATACCAGTCCCAAGCGACAATTCCCCCAGCCTTGTTCGCCGATCCACCGGTTCATGGAAAGGAACTCCCCGGTCGGGCACGGCTTCCCGGCGAAAGAACACTCGGTCTACCGACAGGACTTGTCCAAATGCCCGGACTCACCGGTCGTGTCGCGCCGGACGCCTCAGGGCTCGCCCAACAGGAGCCTGATGCACCACCAGGTGCACCGGGCGCGCAACGACCCCGAGTCGGAGGTCAAGGAGTGCCACAGGCCTCGGGTCGCTTTGAACTGCAACGGCGGACTCAGGTCGGAAGCGTCGATGGACGTGAGAAATTCGCTCGGCAGCAAGACGCACGCTATGATGTCACAGGGCTCTCTCGCCGGCGGCAGGAAGGACTTTCGCGTCGCCAGGGCACCGACCAAAGAGGAGGGGGTGACGTCCAGCTCGTCGGATTCCGAGGAGAAGTGCGACGTGAGGCGAAGAGCCCCTCTGATGACTTTCAGGTTGGTGGCTATCTGATAAGGTGTCTAATGACGACACAAGTCAGGTAGATATAATCCTTTTTGTACATTAAAGTGTGTAAAAAGAGTGGATTCTTTCCCGGAGTATTTGTTTGAAAAGGACCTTTATTTTATTGTGGAATTATTATTCAATCAATTGCTGTTGTGCATTTTTACGTATTAACTCTTTACACTTGTGATAATACAGACAGAAAACGTGTCTTTATAGATCAGTCGATATGGGTCCCATTAAGGAAGGCTCCTCCTACTGCCCGCAAAGTGAGCCAGTGAAAAGGAAAGTGTATGCCGGAAGCGCAACATATGGCAGAATACAAAAGACTCTGGGCGAGCACGTTATGCTGAGGAACTCAGACGGCGATACGGCGACCGATGACACTGGTGAGCGTTTCTTGTTCCTTTCTTCCCCGCAACACGCAAAGGACTTCCTGTCCTCGCGAACTACAGTGGTACATGATTCCATGATCATGCAGCAGTCATCTTGTTGTTCCTAAAACAGAACTGATCGCTTCCACGTTCATCGCCAGTTTTACTTTCAAATTTCATTCCGCAAGTCTGACCTAAATTCTCAGAACTTCCCGACCAGTTCAACGTTATTCAGAGTCGGATCACGTATTCGAGGCCATCTCCAGTTTATCCTCAGATGCTGTACTGGTCGTTTATCGGCTATTGAAGGCAAACTTGAGACAGTTTCGAATATTCAAATCCAACTGTAAATACCGGCCTCTCAGGGATGAAACATGTTAATGCATTCCACATTATACCGTCCTACTTCAATTGCAAGTCGCACATTTCATTGCCCCATTCCAAGTTCAGCCTCTTCTGACCAAGTTCAACATCTACCAATGGCGTAGTAATCCACGTCCTCGACGCGAGCTCCAATCGATCCGCGTCACAGCCACGAGGGACGTTTGTTGTCCCGTCCATCTTAACACATATCATCTCGCAGACGACTCGAGGAGGTCTCTGAAGGAGAAGGTGGCGCAACTGCGGCAAGAGCGACTGGCGGCCGAGGCGAGCGCGAACAACGCCCAAGACTCGCAATTCTTCCAGCACCAGCTGTCGCAGTTAAGGCGGCAAATGCTGATGCAGACGATAGAGGGCCTGAAGCGCAGCCTCGAGGACCAGTCGGCCACCCTGAAGCAGACCTGCCTGGAGCCGGTGCTGAGCGACGAGTTACCTTGAAGCGGGCGCATCCGCTTCCGGTCCGGCTTACCGCACCGCGCGATCGCGACTGACGGATCCCCGCGACGCCGCCCATCTGCTCCCCGCCGCCGACGCTCGCGTACGGGACCTCGCTCGACGAGCACAGGATCGAACGCGAGTCCTGTCCGTCGGCGAGAACGCGCGATTGGTCGAGCCGCTGCGCGTTGCCGGGAGTATTGATCAGACGCGGCGTCGTTCTATCTGTGCGCGTCGGCCTTTGCGATTTTTCCTCGGGCTCGGCCGAGCGCCGGCGCGCACGTCAAATTTCTATTTTTCTGTCCGTTTCTGTATGGAGAGAAGTAGAACAGAGGGGAAGAGAGAGAGAGAGAGAGAGAGAGAGAGAGAGAGAGAGAGAGAAAGAGAGAGAGGGAGGAAAAGAATCGAGATTGAGAGTGTCGTGTACCTCCCCCCCCCTCACTGGGCATTGTTCTCCCGCTCTGTTGTTCGTTTCACGCGAAAATAACGTTTCTCACGAATTGTTTCTCCGTTTCCCGTTGCTTGATTTGCAACTTGGCGCGCGGGCAGAGCGCGCGACTTCCGGCTGTCGTTAGGTAATTAGCTCTCTCGAGAGCCGGCTCGACTCTCACCGCCCGATCCGTCGTTCGTGCCGTCGTCGCACAGCAACGCAACAGCGCTTGTTCTGAAATGTTCTTACGGTAGACGGGAGACTCCTGCGGATCGTAGAACGTTTCGTCCCGGAACGCCAGTGCGGAATTACTACGTAGTAATAACATTACCGAGTATAATGTACTGTAACAATAGTCGATATCGTCGTTATATTAAGAGACTACTGTAGTTAACATTTTTGTTTGTCACGTAAATAGGGCAGAGTGTAATATCGATTGTATTAGCGTATATTGTTATGAAATTCGCGATAGTTACGCGGCGAGGGGAAAAGAAGAGAACGAGGTAGCACTCGAAGCTAGAGTTTCCGGCGATCCTCCTCGTCAGCGTTCCGGGACAGAGCTTAGATTAGAGACCTAGACTTGAAGAACATCTGCACAACGGGCCTATTCACGGGTGTCTGTCTCTTTAGCACGCCCTGGGAAACAGGGAAACATAGCGGAAAAGCGAAAGGAAATTCTCGTCAAAAGTACACGCGAACGAGTCGCGTGCCAGCATCAAAACACGAGCGAACGTAGTGACTTAGCGTATCCGTAACGGAAGTAGAGAATCACGTCTAGAGCCTACACGTAGCCGGTAGGTAAAACCAAACATATGTAATCGATTTAGGTATAGGAAAGACGTCAAACAATACGTGCCCAATGAATACGGCCCAGTGCCGACCGAAGAGCGACCGGGAAGGACAGCGCTGTTGTGGACGTTAGCTGATTCGAATTGGCGCTGACCGTTTGAGCCTCAAGAAGCGAGAGAGCGAGGAAGAGAGAAGCGAAATCCTCACTTGTAAGCTCCTTAAGCAAGACGTACGTTTAATCGCCTCTACGATGAATATATATATATATATATATTCATATGTATATATATATATATATACACACATATTGTACAACTAATTTTTATAAGTGTTTCGTAAACTTGAAGAAATTGGAGCTCAAAGGGTTAGATTACACACGCGCGCGAGCAGGTCGTGCGTTTAGATGTGAGGAAGATGAGTCAAGTACCGAGGTCAAGATCGAAATGAATCAGGAGATCCGACGCGTTCAAGGTCAGAGTCAGCGCGGTCCTTCCTAGATGTTCCCGACTCTCCAATTTGACCTATCGCAGAGCATGACGTAGTGTTATGACGACGCATGTACCTTCCACCTTGCAACCTCGTGGACGTGGTTGCGCGCGAGATGGGTTTCCCGCACTTCGAGAAGCTGCACCATCGCTTCCTCCCTTATCGCCTGCCGCGTCCGATTCCGAGCAGCACCTGCAAACGTCAGCTTCCGTTTGAACGATACCGGTCTTCGAGCGAGTCCCTTTCACCGAATTACTCTTCACGCGGGACGAGGACCGCTCACTCCGCCTGCGGGTGATTGCTTCCCGTTCGCGAGATGGAGGACAACGGAGAACCGTGAAAACGAGCCAGCTTACTACACATATTACTCGTAATGTTCCTATTTCTACGCGAATATTCGTAACCCTCGTAAGAGCGAGATCCCCTTCCCGGTGGACGATCCTCCTCGTCACCTCTGTCTCTGACTAGACTAAGCAGCCTCCGGATTAGCATACCAAAGAGACGATAGCTTAGCTGTATGGTAGATTAGAACCGTCGTTTAGTCGATCGAAAAAAGGAAAAAAATATACACACCGATACACGTACTCGTAATATTAGAGGATCACGGTTAGAGCGTTTTTAGAGAGCCTCGATTCGCTGGTAGGGTAATCGTTCGAGTTACGTCAAGCGGATTACAAATCTTCCACGCGCGTGAGCCAGAGTTAAGGTACTTCATTCCGACGTTCGCGGTAGTGATTTATATCCGATATCTTATCTGTCTTGCTCTCTCGAGCGAGAGTTTACTTACAAGGAAAGATAGAGAACCCGGAAATTCAAAAAATTCTGAAACTTTGTGTGGAAGTAAGGTAGTTCGTCCGTAATGCAAAACTATATTTTTTATTCGTGCGGAATTCCAGTCTGTAAAGGGAGGAAACCGCCCTTCGAAACAAAAATCATTTTTAGCGTATATCTTTTAAAATACGAGGCATGTGCAAAAATGGTTTATATGAAAGTTGTAGTGTATTGCATACTCTTTGTGACTGTGTATTCAGATTTTGCAAAATTGGAGGGCCGAGGGGGTTTCAAAAATTTTTCAATTTTGCAAAATCTGAATACACAATTGCAAAGAATATGAAATACAGTATAACTTTCATACAAACCATTTTTGCATATGCCTCGTATTTTAAAAGATATACGCTAAAAATGAAAATGATTTATTTTTTTCGAAGGGTGGCTTCACCCCCTCAGACTGGAATTACACACAAACAAAAAATAATTTTGCATTATGGATGAACCAATTTACTTCCACACAAAGTTTCATAATTTTTTGAATTTCTAAGTTCCCTGTGTTTCCTTGTTGGTTGTTCTCCCTTATCGACCGGCTGGACGTACGCGTGCAGAGTTGATCCTTGTTTCCAACGGGGGAAGTAGAGATTTGTTTGAGATTTGCGAATTTTTTGTCCGACTGCGTGACTTTATTCGTTGAATTTATCGGCTCGTGATATTTTTGACTCTGGTTGCATCATCGATACGATACTTTCGGTCATAGTGATATTTTTGTGAGAATAGACTGATAGCGTTATCGATAATGTTAGATTAAAAGGGGAAAAAGGATCTTTAGTGGTTACTTACTTACGTGTGATTTATACGTTACAGAAGCAAAAGGAAGGAAAATGGAAGAGAGATTCCTCGAGAACGGCGGATTGTAATACGCGCACACACACACACACACACACACACACACACACACACACACACATGATATATTTATTTGTGTTAGATATTAGGAAATATAGTAAATGAAAGCATTAGGCGAAAAATATAGCGGCAGTAGAGTTACTGCATTAGGCAGTGGTCGAGTAAAATCGAAGTTGCGTTGTTCTCCCGTTCTCTTTCGTTCTTGCGAGGATCGCGTTTTGTCGACAATTTTTCGTGCGTACGTCTCTCTGTCGTCCGTTTGTCTCTCGAGAAGAACCGTCATTGTTTTGTTTCTAATAGCTTATCGTGGAGACGGACTGCGAGAGTTACTTCGATCGTGATCGAAAGTCTTCGGCGGTACGCTGAACTAGCTGTCGTTGAGTGCGCTGTCGTTGTTCCCCGAGAGTTTTATACTTGAGATAATACTGTATATAAGATAATTTTTAATCCTATACCTTCCCCCTCACCCCATGAAATACCTTAGTTTTATAATCGTAAAACAAATTTATAACGTCGTTGCTGTTGAGTTCGATAAATTTTCTTTCTCTTTTTTTTCTTTTTCTTTCCTTTACGCAATCGCATCGACACATTCCAGGAGAGCACCAGGAGAGAGTGCGGTTTGGGTTCTTCGGCGCGTTGGAGGTAGAGCAGTTGTCTGGATCGATCCTGCGGTCGGTCGTTAGTATAAGACCGTCGGCACGATTTCTCAGCATGCCCTTGCCCGCAAAGCGACACTAGTCACTCGGTTATTTACGCAGGGTATATAAATTAAATCGGCAACTCCGAACGTGCTTGGAGCGGAAAAGCGGAATTATTGTTATCGCAAACGATATCTCTTGTGTACGAAGCCATTTGCAAAATAAAATGGTTTTTTTATATGATTATGAATAAATTATATTATGTCGTTGGATCTATTCTAGTTACTCTCTTTGTCTCTACCTCGACCGAATGGTGTCTATTTCTCACCCCCATACACATCATAACGACGAATTACTTCCACTCAGGTACGAATAGTTCGTCTTACGAAGAGACTTACAAAAAGACTATATCTTTATTATAAAACAATAATTCCCTCATGATATATATATTACAAACTATAGACACTTACATATAAGCACGCTTAATTGCTCATATTTATCAAACAAGTATATATGCTTAGCTTGGATATTTTTATACCTAAACGTGAATAGAATATAATTTCCCTTTACATCATTCCGAGTGATTGCAGAAGATACAACAAAAGTGGAAAACAAAGCAAGTATGAAAATTATATAGACTTTAGAAATCTCATAGACTTCCTGTGAAAGGGCTTCTTTAACAAAAAGAACAATCGTCGTGATTCATCGTCGAAATCAATCGTCGCAGTATCCTAGTAAATGAAATGTGCATACTGCAGCAAACACGTTTGAAATATCCTTACTTGATCTTTTCAAATCTGTGTTTGATCTCATATATCCCGACAGGTTGCAGGGTTTCATCACAGTAGTACTCCCATTCTCCCTCGCTCAAATCTACATCACTGAACTCTCTGCCCCCTTCTATGGTTTGGGCAGTCCATCCTTCCCTCGCGGAAAAGTCAGAAGGTTCCATTCCTCGGCAATCAAATGTCACAATTGCTTTAAACTTGCCTTGATCGTTCAAAGTGAAGGACTTGATGGTATGCTCCATTATTGTCATTGAATTCTCCCTGGAGCAGAGCTTGCACTTGATTACAAAGTTATTGACACCACTGCCTCGTTGCATCGGTGTTGACTCTTCCAGGGAGACGTAGTTCCACTTCTCCGATGCCTGTCCACAGTTGGAGCAAGTGAACTTTAGACACCACCTGAATTCCGGCCCACCTGGCTTCAGTTCCTCGATATTGTCGAGTCTACAAGTGATCTGTAACGCTATTTTCACCATTTTTTTTTCTGTACGATGCTATGTCCACTCTGAAATTATTCATGTCGAAAAGCGTTAGTCAAATGAATCATATGTTTAGACCAAAACAGATCAGATTGCAGGAAGCTTTGAACTTACGTGTTCAAAAGATCCGTCGCTATGTCGAAATTAGAACTCCAGTTCGAATGCAAATTTATGGTCTCGTTCAGTGGACGAATTTTCATGCAGATGGCCAATGTTGCAATGACTATCACGTATAAACAGCGGATGTATAATCACTTCCCAGCGAAACTGATTAGCAAAGCTGAAAATAAACCGACGACATATATCAGTGGGAGCAAGGTGATAGTGTCAAAACTTCTAGGCTACCTCGTACTTTGAGCATTTCGTGTATACATTGTTGTCGGAAAGTTATATGTATATTCTAAATATTTTAAACGAGGAGTAAATTTTAACCGCTATATTCTTACAAATAAGTGCTTACAATAAAATGACGCTTTCTTTACATTAGATTTTAAGGGTCTGCAGGAGCCAAAGACAAATCCAACGTTGACTTTTGGAGGCCTCGTGCGGCGAGATCGCGAACCAACACCGTGCGCGCGAGCGCAAGAGCAAGAAGGTTGGGTCAAGTCAGTTTGACAAGGACGAACAATCGATCGCGCTGTCCTTGTCTTACTCACTCGGGCATTTCGCCGGCCGATACACGGCGAGAAAATGCTTTCCAGGCTTCTGGGCAAGTGAGCCAAGTGTCGCAGCGACTTACGTGTAATACCATTTTATAAATTGACCTATTTTGTCTAGCTGACGTTATACATCACCGCCAAATTATTATAGCATGTTCCTTATATTATTCCCGAGATCCCTACAAAGCCAGATTTTGCAACCCGGCCGTCCAAAATTTATGAAAAATAAATGAGTCCGCCATACCAAGCATCGCAGCGAATCACTCCAAAAATTATTTTACGAGATGCAAAATTTCGTCTCGTTAACGATACGTATAATTGCTAAACTGTTATAGCATCTTCCTTGAATTATCCCTGAGGACCTCACACAACCAGATTATGCAATCCGGCCGTCCAAAATTAATAATATATATAAATAAAGCATCAGCCGTACCAGGAATTGTAGCGATTGCAGTGGAATACCATTTTACAAGAAGCAATATTTTGCCTTATTGACGTAATATATGACCATGAACTTGTTATAGCATCTTCCTACAACTATTCCCGAGATCTCTACAGAGTTAGATTTTACAAACAGGCCGTCAACAATTTATTATACATAAATAAAGCGTCAGCTGTAACAAATATCGCAGCGAATCAGGCAGAATACAATTTTACAAGAACAAATATATTGCCTCGTTGACAATATATATAACCGCCAAATTATTAGGTAAATCGGAAAGACAAGTAGCTATAGCTAGAACTGTCGTTAACTTATAATGTCTAAACGAAGCTTAATATACATGTGTAGTTTGCTTTGACATCTGTCAATAACATTCAGTACATAAAAGTATACGTTTGCATCAATAACATTGTTTTTCACTGCATCGAAAATGTCGAAATTTGAGCCAAATAAACGTCATTTGCGCGAAGTGTTAATCTCTTGCTTCAATTGGAAGAAAACTGCAGCTAAAGCTCATTGAATGCTTGTAGAAGTTTATGGTGATAATGCTCCTTCCGATAAAACATGCAGAGAATGGTTTCGACGCTTTAAAATTGCGATTTTGATGTAGAGGACAAAGAACGTTCTGGACGGCCAAGAGTATTCGAAGACGAAGAAATGCAGGCATTGATGGACGAAGACCCATGTCAAATTTAAAAGCAACTTGCAGAAACGTTAAATTGTGCTCAATCTGTTGTTTTCGATCGTTTGAAAGTCGCCTTAGGAAATATTTACAGGGAAGGAAAATGGGTCCCATATGAAAGGAAGCCAGGAGACATTGAAAGGCGAAAAACCACCTGCGAAATTATGCTTGCTAGGCAACAAAGAAAGGGCTTTTTACATCGTATCATCACTGGGAATGAAAAATGGATTTATTTTAATTCATACAGGATATTATATTGTAGCAAAAAACAGCCCTGTGTCTCTAACCGTTTAGGAGATATCGAAGGTTAAAGTTTTCCAACTTGTACCTTTGAGATCTCCGCTTCTACTGGGAATAGAGAGTCGAAATTTATGGTGAGAATAGGGTTGATGCAGGACTATATTGTTGCAAAAAAAACAGGCCTGTATCTCTAGCTGTTTAGGAGATATCGAAGGTTAAAGTTTTTCAATTTGTACCGTTGATATCTCCGCTTCTACTGGGAATTGAAAGTCGATATTTATGGTGAGGATAGGGTTTGTGCAGGACTATACTTTGGCAAAAAAAACAGGACTGTATCTCAAGCCGTTTAGGAGATATCGAAAGTTAAAGTTTTCCAACTTGTACCGTTGATATCCCCGCTTCTACTGGGAATTGAGAGTCGAAATTTATGATGAGAATAAGTTGATACAGGATTATATTGTTGCAAAAAAACAGGCCTGTATCTCTAGCCATTTAGGAGATATAGAAGGTTAAAGTTTTCCAACTTGTACCGTTGATATCTCCGCTTCTACTGGGAATTGAGAGTCGAAATTTATGGTGAGAATAGGGCTGATACAGGACTATATTGTTGCAAAAAAACAGGCCTGTATCTCAAGCCGTTTAGGAGATATCGAAGGTTAAAGTTTTCCAACTTGTACCGTTGATATCTCCGCTTCTACTGGGGATTGAGAGTCGAAATTTATAGTGAGAATATATAAATATAGAATATAGAAATAGGGTTGATACAAGACTATATTGTGCAAAGAAACGTGCCTGTATCTCGAGGCGTTTGGGAGATATCGGAGGTAAAATTTTTAACTTGTACTGTCAGTATCTCTTTTTCTACTGCGAATTAAGTGTCGAACTTTATAGTGAGAATTGGGTGTATGTAGTACTATATATTGGCAAAGGCGCCTTTGCTCGTTCCTATATCTGTAGCCGTTTAGGAGATATCGAAAGTTACTTTCCGCATATTTATCCGCAAAATTGATCGAAATACGGATTAAACAGCCGCGGGAGCAGCTACGGAAGGAAAATTCATGCAATTTTTAGGACCTCAACGCCAGCAGACTCTGATTTCTTTTCGTCTTTATCACTGACGAAAGGAGCGCCCATTTTAAAGAGCGATCATAGAATACGCGACTACTTTGTCACGTTTATATCATCAATGTCCGCTTCAATCTGCCACTCTCGATAGAGTCTCAATGCACGATCTAGCGCGAGTTATGAAAATTCAGTTTCCGCGATGAAACTAGTCGGGGGACGTTCGCAGTCGCGGTGGAATTTAACGCTCGCGTTCGCAAAAGCCTAACATTCTACTCGCGAGGGGGCGCTATTGCCCCTCTTTTTACAATGGTGCGGATGTTTATCTCCTTTCTTCCTTATTTTCCGCAACGGTACCGCGACGAGGCGCTAACGAGTCAAGTTCGCTTATAACCAGCGTTTATGTCAAAAGTTCTTCTCGGGAACATTCCGCTCGAGAGGTTAATCTGCGATAGAAAGCGACCGGAGGCCGCTGTAGTTTAAAGTTAAATTGCAGCAATGGCATTGCTATCGGGCAGCCTTGACACGGGCTGCTGGCATCCGTCCATGACGTCTGCCGCGCGCCTTTGCGATTATCGGCAAATTCATAGTTTTTTCGATTGCTCGCGCGATTTCAAGTGGCCATAATATATGACGATAATATATGGCAATATGTGGCAATAATATATGGCAACAATATACGGCAACGATATATGGTAACAATATATGTCCTATATATATGGCAATAATTCATGGAATATATTTGTCGTTACAAAAGTCAATGCAAATTTGCGGCATGCACAATGTAATAATAAAAGTGCTCTCTGCGAGCATTGTGCCAACATTCACCGATGATGATATTGATGATGTCCCGTTGCATCCAACCAGATCAATCAATATCCGCCCATGTCCGTTGCCGCTCTTCATGTCGCGCAGCATCCATCTTGCAGCGCATCCCACGTTGATTGCTACACTTTCGCGACGCGGTCGATTGTATGAGATCAGCGATATTTGCGTCAATTAACGAATGTTTTACATCGACATCGTTGGAAACTTTTTACGTGCTGCGAAACGGACTCTATAAACTCGACCAGCTAGGAGCAAGAACCGTGTGAAAATTTTTTGACTCGTCCAACAGATTTTTACGGCGCTTTTCGCGATCGCGTCTGAAAAATCGCGAAAATGCGGGAGTATCGATATCTACGAGAATATTCGCGAATGCATGAGAGGAAAGATTAGACAATCAGAAACCGGTCTCTTCGAGAGAGCACAAAGAGAGAGAGAGAGAGAGAGAGAGAGAGAGAGAGAGAGAGAGCGGAGCAAAGTTTTCACTCATGATAGTTCCGTCACGACGAAGCTTACGTTCGCGATACTTTGGCGAAATGAGAATTTAAGCTTCCTTTGTTAACAGCGCGAATAAAAACGTGTATATTGGTAACCGCGGTCGCGCTATTTAAAGGCACGCGGATCCTCCGGTGCAGCATCCGCGTCCGTCGGACTTGCTTCCCGCAACGTCTGGAACAAAAATTTAGCGTTCATGATTGGTAAGCTGCGATAGAAAAAGAATGTTTGGTCGGGATGAGTAGAGAATATTCGCTACGATTTTTTTTCCTCATTGTCATTGAAAGTCTAGATAGAAGCTTTTGAAAGAGCTGATGAAAAAAAATGACAAAGAAGCGGAGACAACAGTTGTGTGCTCTCGAAAATACTCTTTTACGAATGGACGTTTAAATTTAGATTCCGTAACGAGAGTAAACAGACTTGAAAGAAGCGCTGACCGAAAACAAAAAAGGTCGCAGTCTAAAAGGAAGGTATGACGTTAAATGTTCTACACAAGACCGGTATACTCATGCAGTTGGGAATTATTCAGAATGTTTGATTAAGAACATGATGAATTAGAGATCCGCGTTCATGAACCGTTATCCGTCTCTGTCTGGATCAATATCTTTTGTATACAACAACGCAATAAATAGATAGACAGACAGAGATTGACGAGAGTAATTGCAAATTCATAAAGTGATGATTACTAGTCGGATGATGACGGATTATGAATGCCGAGCGCGAAATTCCGACTTCTTATTCCCGGAAAATTCGTCAAACGTCCGCTCTCGTTATCGGAGACCTCCCGCATAATAAATGATTCCACATACCTGGAAACGTGACGTATTGCTCCCGGCGTCCTGCTTCCCGGCTGCTGGAGTCCTCCGGATTTCACTCGTTCACACTTCTAATGCCGATACTCGCGATTCGACCGTGTGGTTAATCAACGCGATGCCGACGCGATGCCGATTGAGTATCTCGAGGACCGACGAGATACATTTCTTTCAATTACACGAGACGGAAGTGACGAGCGCGTCGCGCACGGCTGCTGTTGATGGAATAAGGTCGAATACACGAGGTGCGCGAGTATTATAATTCGAAGGGCAAAAAGTGTCATCGCTCGCGAGCCGATCAACATAATCGGCGCGATGTAAACGGCGGCGGTTGAAGCAAGAGAGACTTGCCTTTGAGCGTCTCTTCTTTTCTCAAAGGTTCCAGAACGACGAGAGGAATGCGAGGAGGCCTTTCAACTGTACGCGACATTGATGCACTCTATTTATTGATTACTGAAAATAAAGAAAATTACTCAAAGCAGGACATTTGTTAGCTTTATGTTAATTAAAGAGGAATTTGTACGATTAGAAAATGTGTTAGCAACTAATTGTACAGAGTGTCAAAGTTGTTGTGACGCCGTTTGCGGAGAATAATTAAAGGTCATGATAGCGTTAAAGAGTGGAATTTCATCCCATACAAATTTTGTCTCGTTCTTATTAAATGTTAGCCGTATATAAAATATCGTATTTAAAAGTATTGTTTCGCATTCACGAGATTTTGTCGTGAATTCTGCTTTGCGGGAATCTGAGATTGGATCGCGGGCCAATACTTTTCAATGCGACGGGGAATAGAACGTGAAAATCTTGTATGCCTCTGAATCCGAGAACAGTTAAGAGAAGAAGTGAATACTTTTCAATACGAAAGTTCGCATTTGAAAATTATCGGTTGCGATTGAATACAAGGCATATTTGAAACGAATTGAATCCTTATTAATGCGAAGCATTCACCACTGCCATCTCGCATTTAGCGCGGTGAAATTTAATGAGAACTAATACTTTTTAGTCCCTTTCTTCGGATCAGAAAGCAGAATTCAGACGTATTCAAAATGTCAATACTTTTTAATATGTTTCAGTTCGACATTTTATACAGGGAGATTATCCGCTGCGGACAATAACTCTTCTACTTTTCATCTAATATTCAATGATGATAAATAACATTTAATTGCATTCGTTTGGCTTTTTTTATTTCGAAAATAAAAAAATATATACCAGGGTGAGATTTTACCCATGACAACATCAACGTGATTTTCTGTGATGCTTTTTTTAAAAGTTCAAATATTTCGTCGACTCGCAGGATATTTATAATCGGAATCTGGTCGCGTTAATTAACACGCGCTCCTCCGAGCGGATCGAATGATCACCGACGGCCACTGTCAGTGCCACGAGCGAATGTCCGGAGTGGACGGGATGCTGAATTAAGAAACAGGACGAAGTGAACGGGACACGGGCAACGATACATCATGCGTCTGCATACATGTCAAATTGTTTATTATAGAAGAGACTTTGATACAATATATATTCGAAGATTTAACATTTAATACGTACTTTTATTTTTTCTGCTCCTCTCCCCTCCCCCCCCGCTCTTTTTAGACCATCGGGCATAGTCTGGCATAGAGATGGCAACTGTGGTTACAGCACGGACATAAACCGCCTGAGAATGGATGTAGCATGGACTTCCATCACATGCAGATTTTACCACCGAGACCTGAAAGTGGATGTACTATCGTAGTTCCCCTCTCAAAATGGATGTAGATGGCGTCCTTTCCCAGTGTGGAAAGTCGGTGTCGCAGAAAATATCGTGTTGGCCGCTCTCAGTTTCTCTCTGTTTATAGTTAGTAGAAACGAGCAAAAGGATGGCTCTCATTGAATTTTCCAGTTATCGCTGCAATTTTACTCAAATATTTCAGGTATCAAGACAATTGTGAATATATTATGACATAGTTTTATATAAAATTCCAAGGACGACGACGGATATAATTTACATGCACTTTCTCAGATGGCGCGTCGAAAAATACGTTCACTGGAATTCAGCTCAAAAATAACCTCTCTCATGCTTTTTTCTGGTTGCATCAGAGAGCTTGTATGGCATATGCATCTATTGGTCTGTTCTTTTTAGCTACACTACTGAATTGATGCAATAAGTTAAAGTAAGAAAAAATATAATTGTCTCATTCTAACTTATTGCACTAGTTCTGCAGTGCAGCTAAAAAGAACAGACCATAGTCATTCCATATGCGGAGCCCTTAAGCGGGAAACACACATTCTTACATAAAGGCATAATGCATAGGCAACGCATAAGGAAATTAACCAATCAGAATCCTCATTTCTATTGCTACGCTTGAAATGAAAGACTCTGATTGGTTCATTTCCTTATGCCTTGTGCCTTTATGTAAGAGTGTGTGCTTCCCACTTAATTTTTGTTATAGGCGAACGGAGTATGGATACACCTTACGGATCAGAGCACAGACTTCTGCATAAAGCTAAGACTCCATGCATGCGGTGAGCTCCGGCAAACGGTTGCGGTGACCAATCAGGAGACAGACGCATGCCGGAGCTTGCCGCAACCGGACTTGCGCCTCCCTCCTGATTGGTCACCGCAGCCGTTTGCCGGAGCTCACCGCATGCATGGAGTCTTAGCTTTACGCATAATATATAACGCATAAGAGAATCAACCAATCAGAGTTCTTCATTTTCCTCCTCAGGACAGAAATGAAGAACTCTGATTTGTTGATTCTCTTATGCGTTGTATATTATGCATTATGCAGTAGTCTGTGCTCTGGCCCTAATACCTAAAGTCATATACCGAACGAACGAACGAAGCTTAAGGGCCAGAGCATAGACTTCTGCATAACGCATAATACACAACGCATAAGAGAATCAACTAATCAGAGTTCTTCATTTTTGTTCTGAGGAGGGAAATGAAGAACTCTAATTGGTTGATCCTCTTATGCATTGTATATTATGCGTTATGCAGAAGTCTGTGCTCTGGCCCTAAAGGCCTTTGCACGTAGAAAATCTGTAACTGCAACCGTAAGGTCGTAAGAAAACTGACCAATCATAGTCGATTGTTCTCCTTGCACTAGAGGAATAATCGACTGAGATTGGTCAGTTTTCTTGCGGCCTTACGTTTACGGTTAAATTCATCTACGTGCAACGGCCTTAACTTTTGTTGAACGCAAGCAACGCAAGCAATGGCATCAAACAGAAACGAGTGAATTATTTGTGTTTAACATTTTCGTACATTTTGACTTGTTGGTTAAATTACTGAGAAATCTTTCCTGTACAAGGAATTTCTTTGTTAATATGCTTATCGGAATATTGCAATTTCGATTTTTTAATATTTTTTATTGACGAAATTGTACTTATTAATAAATATATCGCATTCTTCATTGAATTTTTCGCGTAACTTTCACATATAATCATTTCATGATTAATTTCCATAGTTTCTCTTCATTTCAGATACATTAGAGTGTAAAAGCAAGACAGGATGATGCACAGAAGAGGAGGTAAACGTATCCGGATGGACGATCCGGTGCCACCAGAGTATGAAACTCCAATGACACCTATGACACCAATGAATGACAATTCGGGTGGAGATGCAAATGATTCTTACAGCGGGTACACATCGTATAATCAAGCATCTCAAACTCCATTACACAATCCTACGTGAATATCCAATATCAATAAGCTGATGAAAGTACCATGTTAATTCCACTTAACTCATCTTATATTTATAGTCCAGAGCATTATTCCTCAGAGAGCTATAGTTCACCAGGTACATCTCAACAGCAATACCAAGAGCAGTCAGGAAACTTTGACAATCAGACACAGTTCGAAGCTCCCATGACACCTGCTACTCCTAACATGAGGATTACAAGAAATACACGTGCCAGGATGCGTGGTATGAGTAAACTTATGTTTTGTGGATATTAATGTGAAAAATTGTATAAAGTTCAGTTCAAACACATTTCCATGTTTGGCTCAAAAGGAGGTGTGGTACAGCAACCTAAGTACAAAGAAATCGATGCTGATTATACTCCATCACCTAGTGGAAGAGGCAGAGGTAGTGGTGGAAGAGGACGTGGCAAAAGAACACATCACTCACATAGTCTGGAAGATGAAGCTAGTCTTTACTACGTTATTAGAAATAATCGTTCTACACTTACTGTATGTTACTGATTATGTTTTATACTGAAATGATGATTTAACGTTAGTGTATCAAGTAAATTTTAGGGTACAAATGTTATTCCACAGACTATTGTCGATGATTGGATAGAAAAGTACAAGAGTAACAGAGAAAATGCGCTACTTATGTTGATGCAATTTTTTATTAATGCAAGTGGTTGTAAGGGTCGTATTACTTCTGAAATGCAACTTACCATGGAACATGTAGCGATTATTCGTAAAATGACCGAAGAATTTGACGAAGTATGTATCTTAAAGTATTTTAATATTTAACAAATTTTCGTTTATACACAACTTTTCGTTTATACAATTTTATCTTACAGGAAAGTGGTGAATATCCATTGATAATGACGGGACAACAATGGAAGAAGTTTCGTACGAACTTTTGCGAGTTTGTGCAAATTCTTGTTCGTCAGTGCCAATACTCTATTATATATGATCAGTTCTTAATGGATAATGTTATTTCTTTGTTGACTGGACTCTCAGATTCACAAGTTAGAGCATTTAGGCACACCGCAACACTCGCAGGTAGACCTGAGCAAATTAGAAAGGCACTTAAAAATTATATCTGGAATAGAATAGAAACAGATATTAAATGCAAAACTTTCCTTTGTTTCACGCATAGCCATGAAATTAATGACAGCCTTGGTAGACGTTGCTTTGACTGTCTCTATTAATTTGGATAACACGCAACGACAGTATGAAGCTGAGAGACAGAAGGCTCGAGAAAAAAGAGCAGCAGACAGATTGGAATCTTTAATGGCAAAACGAAAGGAATTGGAAGAAAATATGGACGAAATTAAGAATATGCTTACATACATGTTCAAGTCGGTCTTCGTTCACAGATACAGGGATACATTGCCGGAGATACGTGCAATTTGCATGGCAGAAATTGGAGTTTGGATGAAGAAATTCCACCAGAATTTCTTAGATGATTCTTACTTGAAATACATAGGTGCGGAATCGCGTTTAACTATTTTTGTACATAAAAATGGAAACTATAATTAACAATTTCATTCAATTTTGCAGGTTGGACGTTGCATGACAAAGTTGGAGAAGTCAGACTCAAGTGTCTGCAGGCATTGCAGCCATTGTACGCTTCGGAGGAATTAAAAACAAAGCTCGAGCTCTTTACCAGCAAATTTAAGGATAGAATCGTCGCAATGACGCTGGACAAGGAGTACGACGTGGCGGTGCAGGCTGTAAAGCTGGTTATCTCGATCCTTAAACATCATAGAGAGATTCTCACTGATAAAGATTGCGAGCACGTATACGAGCTTGTTTATTCGTCTCATCGTGCGGTCGCGCAAGCGGCTGGTGAATTCTTGAATGAACGTTTGTTCCGCCCAGACGACGAAGCCGTAGAGGGAGTGAAGACCAGGCGCGGCAAAAAGCGATTGCCGAATACGCCTCTCATACGTGACTTGGTTTTGTTCTTCATCGAGTCCGAGTTGCATGAGCACGGAGCGTATTTGGTTGACTCTCTGATCGAAACTAACCAAATGATGAAGGACTGGGAATGCATGACGGACCTTTTGCTAGAGGAAGCCGGTCCTGATGAGGAAGCGTTGGACAATCAGAAGGAAACTTCCCTCATCGAGTTGATGGTTTGTTGCATTAAACAAGCCGCTACGGGCGAGGCGCCGGTCGGTCGAGGACCCACTCGGAAGATCTTATCAGTAAAGGAACTGAAGCAAGTTCAAGATGATAAGCAAAGACTGACGGAACATTTCATTCAAACGTTACCGCTTCTGTTGGACAAATACAGGGCGGATCCTGAGAAACTGGCCAACTTGCTCGCGATCCCACAATACTTTGACCTGGATATTTATACAAAATCTAGACAAGAGATAAATCTGGATTCCTTATTAAGTAAAATTCACACCATTGTAGAAAAAATGCACGACACTGAAGTCTTAGACACGGCGGCTAAAACTTTAGAACACATGTGTGTGGAAGGCCATGCTATCTTCACCAGGTATATTATTATCATTTAACCAATCTTATCTTTTGCTATCTGATATTTAAGGCATGTACTATCTAATTAATTTTTACGCAGATGCGACGTCGCTCGATCTACTTTGATCGATTATATAGTAAATAAATATAAAGAAGCTATCGATGAATACCGGAATTTAATAGAAGGAGATGAAGTCCCAGATGAGGATGAGACTTTCAATGTTATCCAGTCACTCAAGAAAGTCTCTATCTTCTATTCTTGTCACAATATGAATCCGTGGAATATATGGGACTCTTTATACAAAGACATAGAAGATGCGAAGGATCCTTCGAAGTACTCTCTCTTCCTCTTTCTCCTCTATATTCCTTTACGTGCGATATCTTCTGATGTGTCGTACATGTGACGTATTGCTTGCAGATGCTTACCGTTCGATGCAGTTAAGTATTGCATAAGCGCTTGTTTCTTCGCTATTTTGTGGGGCCAAAATCACTTGATGGAAACCACGGACTCTGGCAATCGCGGCGAAGATGAATGCCGAGAACTGAAGGAACGGTTACACTCGTTCATGGGCTCGATGCGCCATTTCGTTAGCGGCGACAATAACGTCACTGTAATCATACATTTTACATAAGTTGCAATTACAATCGAAATTTCTCATAATCCTCATATATTTGCTTCAAATGAAATAGCCGTCACCACCGATATTGAGGGAAGAAGCATATAACACGATATGCGATCTGTTAGTGGTGTTTTGTAATCAGTTGACTACACATAACAATATACTGATGCATCAGTTGGTGTACGAACCCGATCAGGCAATGCAGAACATGCTTAACCGGTTTATACAAGAATACGTCTTCTTTGAAGAGGAGGATGGTAAGTGAACCCTGGAATAAGCATTGGAGAAAAGTGCAAAGCAATGTGTGTATATATATTACTGGTATACGTCGAAATTTATTTCGCAGATGAACACGACGAACACTCCAAGATCGAGGAGTTGCACAAGCGAAGGAATTTCTTAGCAGGTTACTGCAAGCTAATCGTTTACAATATGATTCCTACGAAAGCCGCGGGCGAGGTATTCAAGCATTACGTTAAATATTATAATGATTACGGCGACATCATTAAAACCACGCTGGGAAAGGCGAGAGATATCAACAAAACGAATTGCGCGCTAACAATGCAGCATAGTCTGAACATCCTGTACAACGAAATAGTGGCTGAAAAAGGCAAAGTGAATCGAAACAGCGAAGAATTCACTGCAATCAGAGTACGTAGATATATTTGTTCCACTACGCAATAAGACAGACACAAAATACATAAACTAAAATCGCCGAACTTGTTTCCTCACTCAGGAACTCGCAAAGCGGTTTGCTTTGTCCTTCGGTTTAGACGCCGTGAAAAATCGCGAAGCGATTACGGCTCTGCACCGTTCGGGCGTGTTATTTGCCATTACTCCACCAGACGGTATCGAACAGGACCCTACAGGCCCGCCACCGAATCTACCATATCTTGAAATATTGTCCGAATTCACGAATAAACTTCTCAAACAAGACAAGCGTGTTGTGTGAGTATTTCATGTCGTTAAGTGACATTTTTCAGAGGAATTAGGATTCGAAAATAAAATTTGAATCAATTCTGCATTCTCTATGCTCATGCGTTTTATCATGGTGTGTTTTATTGCAGTCTTAACTTCCTGGACAGACGATTGCAAGCTGGAATGCCGTCGTCGCGAGGGGAAGACTGGCAACCTTTGCTCTTGTACAGAAACAGCTTGCTGCATGGCGAGACTGACCAAGTTCCAGTGACGAGTAAACGAGCTTATACAAGGCGCAAGAAGGATCAATTAGCTGGTAAAAGATTTATCTTCTTAGCACTATTTTGAGAAGTGTCTTAGATGTGTGAATCTGTTAGAGGCGCAAAACTTCCAAAGTTAATTAAATTAGACAAGAGAACATTATAGCAATCTGCAAATCTGTTACAATTACGTATGAAGATATTAAGTTTCAATAATTTTATGTTATTCATTACGCTCTCTTGGTTTAAACAATAATATCTTTCTTTTGCAGAGGAAGAAGAAGCGGATGAACCTGATGAAGGTTCTGATCATGAGTTTTCAGGGTGAGTTAGGTGTACCCGACTAGAGTCTGATATATAATTATTCTTTTCTGTCAAACTGGTCATTAGTACAGACTCGATTGTAATTGCAAGTAACTGTTACACGTAACTGTTTGATAACACACGAATCATATCGGCATTAACTGAGCGAATTAATCATGCTCAATTATCGCTGCGATACAAACTAAACGCTTGTCTCTATTCGCTTTTGCAATGCGATCTATGCTATGAAAAGTGTATACTGTTCATAAAATGAAGAGCGCAGATATATGTTCTATGCACATATTATAAGATGTGCTTTTTCTCTCACTATTGCTAGAGCTGTAAAGATATTAATGTTGCTTGCAGAATGTAGATTTGTAGAGAAGTAGTGGTAGAAATTACATCACTAATATTTTTCACTTTCTGCCTTATATTATTTTATTAACGCTTAATAGAATTTTGCTTTGTTCATATCTTATAGTCCGTTCAATCTATAATTTATTTATAAAAATTTGGTATTACACGAATTATCAACCATGATTTAAAGCGACAAATTGATGCGTGTAATTCAATTATCACGTTTGGATATATAACATTCACGTCACGCCATTTTGAGACATCAAGATCAACATCTAAGCACTAAGGAGTGTGCGATTGAATAATAGAGAGATCTATATTTTTCTATAAAAAAATATTAATGATCTCGTTCTTTGCAGTATAACTGCATGCTTCTGCCTAATCTATAAATATTTACTGTAACTGCCATTTGTAAGAAAAAGATTATTCTGCCTCTATGTTTGCATGAGTAGTGATTTTTGACGAATTGCTTGCTGCAGGCAATCCAATCATTATATAATTAAGGCTTCTGTTTCCTTGTCGTGATTATCTTAGATTATGATGTCAGGGCCGAAAAAATATTTGTTCGAGATTCTTACAATGTTGAGATAAAAAAAAATCTATAACAACTTAGGACTGATTAAGCAGATTGTAAAATTGAAAACTTCTTTTGTTTCAATGATTTTTTTCGAATAATATAATAGTCCTAAAATTAGCTTGAATTAAAATTATGACTAAAATGATATAATTAACTAGACCGTATGTATATATTAATTGTACGGCTATTTGTTAATTAAAAGAAAAAAAGTTTTCAAAATATTTTACAAATCTCTGCTCAATCGATCGTAAGTCACTTTATGGATACATATGTATATATATAATGTTATTTTATGCATATCTTTTTATTTTAACATACTTTGCAAGAATTTGGAATATATATATATATATATATATATTTTCTCACTTCTGATATCATAATCTGAAATGACTACTGCAAGTACCAGGAATCTTAAAGAATATATTTTTAGAGGTATATCAATTGTGTATCTAAAATTATATGTGAGGGACAAAAATTGTACAAGAAACTTTTTATGTAATTTATTATTCCTATTGCCTGCTTTCTCTTAGTTCAGTTTATCAAATCATACTTCTAAACTAGAATAAGAAAATATTAAGAGATAGATCATATTGTCACAGATTATAATATTTTTGAAACAAATGAGAAAAATCGTATATAGAGAACGATGTGTGTATTTTGTCGAATGATTAAAATCAAGTAAGCTTAAAACTTTGTATTCTGTTTATATATTAATAATACAAATTGGTGATAGATATGAATATGTGAGATTACTTTAAACAAGACCCTCTGTACTCCCAGCGCTCCTAAGTCCTACTTTATTAAAATTAAAAATTGTCACGAAAAAAAGCGCGAAATGTACATTTCTTATTAATCATTAATATGTAGCAAATATATGAGAGAGAATACATCATTTGTTTTACATTTTCTTCTCTTTCTCTCTCTTCTTTCTTTCTCTTTATCTCTGGTTCACTATTTTAATATTATTGATGTGAACATTCCTTTTCGTAACACGCCGTTCTCTATAATCACCTTCATACGAAAGTATATTATCATTTTTTGTCTGCATCTCTCTCTTTCTCTCTCTCTCTCTCTCTCTCTCCTTTCTCTCGATTAATTCTATATTGATATTGTGTTATTAATTTTCATACATTTCGCTCATCCAGTATAACATAAATTAGAAATTAGCTGTCTACGTATATGTATGAGATCATAAATTCGAATGTACCAGCTCTCATATACTGATCATACATGTGCATGTAAGTTTTTTTTTTAATTTATCAAATTTTTGTCCCTTTGCCTTGGAAATTGATATAATTATATTTTCATTTGATAAAATTGGCTGTTTTCGTTTCAGCAAGCATAAAAAAAAACGTGCTCCAAGGAAAAATCAGTGAGTAATTTCACTTTTGTCAAACCAAGTATGAGCGAAAGAAAGTAACAGAGTAATAATGCACGAATAATGAATAAATAAATAAAAAAAAGACATTTCAACTATAGATCGTAAATACTTGAATTATAAAGTACAGTTACTTGTCTAGCGCCAGTATAACGATTTTTCTATTTCAGATTACCAGTTAATAAAGTAGTGATAACGCGTGGGCCCAAAATGAATACATTCTATGAAAATAACGATGCCGCTCAAGTGCAAACGTCACCCTTAGCTACTATAGAAGATACGTCGACAAGTCCATCGCAAGATATCGATAGTAAACTCAAGACATTACAAATACAGTCAAGATCGTGAGTATCGATAGTTTGATACGTTTTGTTTGATATATATGTGTATATATATATATATATATATATCTCTCTCTCTCTCTCTCTCTCTCTCTCTCTCTCTCTCTCTCTCTCTCTCTCTCTCTCTCTCTCTCTCTCAGAATTATATAATAAAGAGAATATATATATTTTCACAATAGACGAAGAAGTCAAGAGCATGTGGAACATAGAGAATTGCGGAGGACTTCTAGAAATTCAGGCAGATATGTTGAGGGGCAATATATGGTAAATTTTAACAATACTGCTAAGTTTACGCATACACACATATACTGACATATACATATAAATTATATATTGAAACAAATTAATTCATTGCAGGAATCTGATTCCGAATAAGATGTGTATAATCCCTAAAAGCTTTACTTATCCCTAAAATTAGATAATTGGATTGTGATACATGTTCAAAGCAACTATGCCATCTGAGAATTATGGAAAAATATATTTAAGTTATATGGCATGAAAAGGCTTTCGGAGCGAGTATTAATAAATTATAGTAGATCAGCTATTATCAGTTATGTTACAAAAATAGTTACGTAAGTAAAATCCTTACAGTTTTCCCGTGAAATTAAGTTTATTTCATTATATGTTCCGTTATAAATACTACAATATATATATACTCCATTTTTATGAACATTTTTTATATAAAAAGATATTAAGTATAAGAAAACCAAAACTATTTAATAATTTTTTTAAATAAATAGGGGTAACTTATTCATATGGTTTTATTTACGTATATATCGTGATATGGTGAATTGAGGAATATATTTCTAAAATTATATACTTTATTTCCTCTATACAATTTATAACTTATAATCTCTACACTTTTATATTCTTGCATTTTGTGTAAAATTATAAAATGTCGATTGCTCATGGATCGAAAATTATATACAATTATTAAATAGTAAAAGAATATAATTTATGATTTGTGTATCATGATGGAATATAGGGACGATTATGAAAAATTCAATTATAAACGTGTATAATATCTAATCTTTATGCGATATCACTCAAGGACGACAGAATATTCTGTGGTAGTTATCACAAATCTCTTTAGCTTTAGTGCATGTTAATTTATTGCTGTAAATGCTATATACAACAATAAATTAACTCTGTACAGTGTGACGAGATGTTCGTGATCAGCGACACCTATTGCATACGAGATTTGCGGAAAATACTACTGATTCTGCGGCCTTTTGGGGTGTTGGATGCATTCTGTTAAAAATATATGTTAACTTGTAATAGGTCGCCATTCCAATTTTAAAACCAATTTTTTATATACTCATTTTTATACTCACTTCATCTTGCCGTTTTAATGTGAACAGATGCTTCAATGTATGGGGAGTGGCTGTTGTCCTCCTATCTGCATTGCGTTCTCTTAAGATGCGTGAACTCGGGCTCCTTAATTCATTACCCTGCCACAAATTATTAAAAGGACTTTCAGTGTTTATTTCTTTATAACCGAACGCCCAATGCGTACGATTACAAAGAAAGCGTTACAAGAAGCGTTATTTATAGACGCAATTTTTTTATTTTAGCAAATTTTCAGATAAATTTTTTACCTATCAATTGTATGTGGAATATAAGGTTAAGGACAACATTTAAAGATATGTATGTATACCTGCAACGACAATCTTCCACCGTTTTTGCTTGGTGTCGGAGGACCAGGTTTTTTATAAGACGTCTACAAAGGAACACCAAAATGACCATAAATAGACAAAACAGTATTTCACAAATAACAGTTTTATGAGACAATAGATCTTTAGTAGCACGATTATACTTACCTGAGACCTATCTTTTTTCTTTGCCTTTTGATCTGGGAGAAGACTCTGGCTGAGGCTATCGTTAAAGACATCTTCCGTTACAGAACCTGACTACAAACATGATATACATGAATATATAGGAATATAAATGTGGACGATATTTAGAACGAATAAGTATTTATAATAATATAGATTTGCAATAAATATATGTAGCATTCATTAAAAAGACGCTTACTTTTATATCTTCCTCGGTCAAGCTCGGAGGAAGGAATTGCATTTCCGCCGGATAAGATGATTTCAGATGAGGTTTACACTGAGCGTTTCTCATTTGTAAAACGGACAAACGGTTGACGTCCGTACTGGGCAAACAATAGCCTGTCTTCATGTCCGCTGCAACATGATTAATACAGTAAGAAAATTTAATGTTATTCTTGATACTCACATTTGTAGTAAAGCATACCTAGATAAACGTTGTCAAAGACTTCCTCCTCATCTTCCGCTTTAAATGCGTTGCCCATTGCTTGTAAACTTCTAACACTATGCCTTCTCTCAAATGTTTCTTCTGTTATCACTGTTACCCTTTGCGTTGTTTGCTGTACGTTTTCAGGTATCATCTCCTGCTTTTCCAGTCTGCGATATATTTGAATGATTAATTGACCTCTAAATTGATAAGTATATTTGTAACATATTCCAATACGTTTAAACATACTTGGAAGTTCTGCGTGAAATCATGGATATCTGTTGATTTGTTTCGGTTTCTTTGAGCTTAACTTGCAGTTCTTTTAAGCGTTGTAATGCTTCTTGCTTCTGTTGCTGCTCTATCAGAAGTTTCTCTCCCACGCTCCAAAGTTGCGAGCTCAATTCTCCGACATGCGTTTTGTACTTATTAATTTCTTCTCTTTGCTTCTGGCACATTGACTCCATTTGATTTTGCAACTTTTCTTGTATAATATTTTCCTGGTTGCTGTTTAACTTTGCTACTTGCTCGTTGTAGGCCTTTTTCTGAAATGAATATCATAATACCACGTTGCAATTTTTATACGAAATACATGCCAGAATAGACGTTTCTCTACTCACCATTTTTTGCTTCATATCTTCCAGTTTCTGTTCATACGTAGCATGAACTTTTCTTAATTGACTTTCGAATTCTTGCTTCGCGGTTTTGCTTGATTCATCCTTTTCTATCTGCTTCTTTTCTAATTGCTGATTTTGCTCTTTCATACGTTCCAATTCGTCCTTTAGGGATCGCATTACATCAAAGTCAACCATTGATTTTGTCTCTGATTTTAATCTCTTTAGTTCCATCCTAAGATCGTCCATATTTTTTTCCAATTTCACATTTCTCGAACGCGTAGAATCTATGGTATTTTTCAAGTCTTTTTTTTCTTTAGTCAGCTGATTGATTTGGTTTTGCAATTTCTTGTCTATATCTGACTGAGTCTTGATTTCTCCAGATTTCAATCCATTTTCATAAGAGGTGACTAAAACAATGAAAGATTGCATTTCTTCTTCAGACTTTAATATATTATTACACAGTGCCTTATTTTTCTCTAGTTCTAAATCCATTATAATTTTCTCATTGGAAAACTGATTTTCTTCCACATTTGTTAATATATCCAGACATTCCTTTTCATGCACTGTACATAGGTAGGTATCGTGCAGTTTCTTCTCTGTCCATAGAAACTTTTCCCATAAAATATCAAGTACATATTTAATGTTTTCTAAATGGTCTGTACGATATTTATACAATATATTTTCAAGACTTGCTTTCTTAGCTTGCAATTGTTTGAACTGTTCGCTAATAGGATTTTCATTGTGTAGAATATTTTGAAACTTGGACAATATTTCGTCCCACTTTTGCAGTGATGATGATAAAACAGTATCCAAGTCATTTCGCGAAGTAAAAACTTTCTGCACAATGTCCTTTAGCGATTCCTTACTTTTTATAATATTGTTGAGATAATCATTCCGCTTTTGTGCTATTATTTCCAATTCCCGTATTCTGGTTTTCAGATTGCAGACTTCTTCCTTGTCTTTTTTACTATTTTCCACTAGTGTCTGTTGTTCGTCCAGTGTCTTGTTTAATTCAGTATTCGTGAGAGATAAATGCGAGATTACTTTCTGAGATAAGCGTAGTTCGTGAAGAGTCATCTTAATAATATTTAGAATATTTTCAGTTCTTTTGTCTTTATGCGCGTACTCATATTGTAATGTATCGTATGAATTCTGGTCAAAAACATCAAAATCTGAGCATATCTCCATGATTGTAGAATTCAAACTTTTAGTTGGACATTCCAATTCTTGACACAGCTTTACGATATTTGTTTGATTTACATCCATAAGTTTACAATAATCTTTGCTTGCCTCAAGGTCTGCATTCACTACTTTTAGTTTCTCTTGCATTTCTTCTATAGTCTTGTTTCGATCATGAATCTGATCTTCTAGTTCTGCAAATTTAACTTGCAATTCGCGATGCAACAACTTTTCCTTCTCAAGCTCTGTTTTTAGTACTACTTTGGATTTATCAAATTGCTGTTGAAGTTCTTCTATGTGCACACATTTTTCTTTCAAAGCTGTTTCCTGAGTCGCTAATACAGCATCTTGACTAGACCTTACTTCTTGAAGATTAATAATTATCTCTTTCATCTTTTTTTCCGATTCATTTGTTTCGTTCATTAACTTTTCTATTTTATTTTGCAACATCAATAATGTCTTTTCTTTTAATTTCATTTCTTTGTCTTTCTCTACACATATTTCTTCATGCAAGCATATCAAGTTATCTTTTTCAGCTTTTAAGGAAGAAATATCCGAAAGTAATTCATTAATCTGTGTATTTTTTAATTCCATTTGTGTCATTGTTTCGTTCATATTTTGCTCTAATAAATTAAGTTTGTCCCTAGCATCTTTTAATTTCAGTGAGATTGTAGTATTCTTTGACATTTGATCTTGCAAGTTGTCTTTTGCTTCAATTTGTAGTGTTGCATATTGCTTCTCTAGTATACTATTCGTTTTTTGTAATTTTTGTACATTTTGTTTAGATTCATTTAATTCATTACAGAGAAACTTTTCTATTTCTTCTAAAGAACTTATTTTACTTTGATATTTTAATAAGTTTTCTTGTAATATAGAGTTTGATATTTGGGTGTTTGATAATTCCTCCTTGATATAATTAAAGTTACTCTTTAACTCTTCTTTTTCTTCCTCTACTTTACTCAATTTGTGATATAATGTATAATAGTTATCATGTATCCTTTCGAATGTTATTTTAACATCTTCTTGATATTCGATAAATTTCTGTTGACTTTCTTGTTTCATTAGTTGAAAATCTTTCGTTATATCCTTCAATCTTCCAAAATATGCCATAGCAGATTTTAATAGCAATTGTTGATCAGTTAGATCTTTTGTTAATTTACGTACATCTTCTTCCAGAATACGTTTCTCACTTGCGATTTCCTTTAAAATTTCGATTTCTTGCGAATATTTATAGATAATTTCCTTTTGTTCATTCAACAGTAAATCCTTTTGCTTTCCGTCTTTTACAATATTAGCTAATTCCGTAAGCGTCTCATGATTTTGTTCTTTTAAAGTTGCAACAGTTAATTGCTGATTATGCAAGTTTACATTTATGTCATCTATCGTTTCTTCTAATTTTTTAATATCAGATTTATATGAAGTACATACTGAATTGTAATTCAATAACATGACATTAAAGTAATTTACAAGTTCACTCAATGTCATATTATCTACATTATCAGTTACAACTTCAATAAATTGATTGTCATGATGTAAAATGGCCTTTAAATCTATACTGCAGCTTTCAATAGAAGATTTGTATGAATCTTTTTCATTAGTTAACTTATTAATGTGTGTAAGATGTTCGGATACTTGTAATTTAATTTGCTCAAGGGCGTTATTTAAATCTAAAGACTTAGTCCTTTCATTTCCAAGCAATTCATTCAAGTTTTCCATGTTTATCTTTAAATCATCCAATTCTGTCTTTAGTATAGTACTTAGTTGTACTGTTTCAGAAAGTTCTTTTTCCTTAGATGAAAGTGAACTTTTCAAATTTTCATTATGTGCAACAAGAGAAATTTTCTCCACTTGTAAATTTTTTATATTCGTGTTTGATGCATGTAATTCCGTTTGTACATCACGTAACTCGGTTTGAACTGTATCCAATATTTTTACTTTTTGTTGCAAATCTGTATTTGATTCCATTGTGTCTTTGTAATTTTTAGTAAGTATATCCAGCTTTCCTTTTAAAGAATCAACTTGAGCTTGCAATATAGCAGATTCTTCTTTAGCTTCTTGGAGTTGGATCTCAATCACAGAACTCAAGGCTTCACTATTGTTCAGTGATACAGTGGCAGGAAGTGATAGTGCTATGGAATCCTCAACTTCAAAACTTTGCTCTGTAATGCAATTTTTATTCAATTCTTTGAGACGGACGCGTAATTCTTCATTATGCATTCTGAGTTCAATCAATTCTCTGTCCTTTATTTCCATTTTACGTGATAATAATTCCAAAGATCGCTCGCAGGTTACAAAACTCTCTTCGTATTTTATAGATTGTCTTTGCACAGAAGCTAAGGTTTTTGATAGAACATTCTTCTCTGTCTCCAAATTATCTATTTCATTCTGCTGTTTGCTCAACTGAATTTCCAAGTCATTGATGTACTTTTTGTAATAATCCTCACATGATGGATTATTCTCTTTTCTATTAGAAAGCTGAGGAGTGCTTGGTTTTATGCATTCATCTCGCAATGTCTTCAACTGTGCTGTATTTGCTTCCAGTTTCAGTTTTAGATTCTGTATTTTCTCCTGATATATTTTTATGTCGTCCTGTAGTTCCGCGTTTTTATATCGTTCTACATCTAAATTACATCTCAATTCTCTTAGTTCTCGAGTTCGTTCGGTCATAATCTTATAACTACTATGTGCTGAACGCATAATAGGAGACTTGACAAAGTCTTTCAGTGGTGGCGTTTGACGGCTACTTGGAGTTCTTGATGCATCTTCTACTAATTCTGCAATAACTTCCTTCATTGTATCTTTAGTGACATCATTTCCAAGAGGCAAAATATTTTCAAGAAAAGTTTTAATTTTAATCTGTGTTTCATGTTTCAGCTTGTTGCACATTGGAGTATGAAACACAGTTGCTTGAGACGCATGCATCAATACCAAGGATGCAATGTATATATGTTCTGTATTGTCATCTTTGTTAATCTTGAAGCTGGGATATTCATCTATACAATCAATAATGAAAAAAGCAAATGTATTAATTCCTAAATAATATCTATATATGACTTTAGCTTTAGTTAAAAAATATATATGATTAAAATAAGAATTTTTAAAGTTACATATTTTCAAACTTAGAATATTGACTATGAAGATGATAAGAATATACATGTATATTTACTCTTCATGAAATTTGTTATATTTTCTTGACTATGACTATGTTTATCATTTGTCCAGGATCTATAACATGATACAATAAATAAATTATATATTCATTAAACTGTTAGATAATATATGAATATACTTACATTAAATTCAATAAATTAATATAAAATATTCCATCGTATAATTCTTCTGTACTTTTTAGAGGTTCCTGTAGTACATCTAAGCAGTTAATCTATAACATATAAACATTTGTCATTAACATTGTCATTATATGTCAACATATTTAAAATTTACTGGTGGATGAAAATATATACTTTGCTGTATATTAGTTTCCGTAAACAGTATGGTTTTAAAAGATAATTAAATTTTGCAGCATAATATAAATTAATGTATAATTAAACCATAAAAATGTTACAAAAATAAAGGCAATGAAAAATTTATTTACATGATTGCAAGAATAATAATTTAATAATTGGTATAATTGTTCACAAATAATGTTCTTTATGTAATGATAATGTAATGTGCGTAAAATAATTACTTACCCATTCTACAACAATCTGTTCCCAATGTTCCATAATGCACTAATATATTTGCACTAATATATATTTACAATTGCAAAAATTAGAAAATTCAGAACATACGTTATAACTGCTTTGCCACACATCACAAACAACAGGTCTAAAGTCGTTTGATTTTGAACAACGGATGCTTTCAATGCTACCAATTTGATAATCATAAATTTATCTTCCGTCAAAAATAAATTCTCCTATTGGATAAGAGATGTGTTGCAAAACTCATCGGGAAAATCAGGTTTATATCGTCTACACCTGATCTATACTTCTGTGTCTTATATGTTCCATGTTATAAATTTATTTCAACATAACACACATAAATGCAATAATCGATGCGCATAATAAATATTTCTTGTTTGTAGTTTAATGTCTAGAATAGATTATGCAAATGGTTCTGCATGTAGTTCCCGATGAAGAACTTGAACGAGGCTATAGTTGGTAACACCGCGTAGTATATATTTTTTCGGTCAGTAATATTTCGTTTCGTGAAGGTTTGCGGCGAAACTTGAGCGACGTGTTAGCGTCTGTGTGTCAAAAGTTGCGAAGCAGGTATTCAACGAACATCGCCGCTACTGGCGGCTATAAACCGCATGTGATCCGCTGCGTCTTCGTGCAGTTGTAGTAGCATCATGGGTTTGATTTCTGATCCGTTTTTATTCGTCATCGCATTGATTGATACGGGTTCCGTGTTATTTCTTCTGGTTTACTACGTATCCTTTGCTAATTATGTCGTTATTAATCGTATCTAGTCGATATCTGTTGTGTTTTGATATATCGAGGTTACGACGTGAAATCGGCTTGGTCGGCCCCGGCTAGAGACTTCTCGTAACGGTGTAACAGTAATTTGTTATGTATCAAGTTTGGCAGCCGTGCGGCTGCCATTTTGAAATTTCGTTTCAAACGGAAAGGAATCACAAACGACCGGTAATACTAATTATTCATTTGTATATACTTAATTATTATTCTCCTTAACTAAGTCGTACAGGTAATAACGCTGTCAGATCTGGAATGCGATTATTTGAATGCGCAAGAATGTTGTTCCAAGTTAAATATGGTAATAGAGAGTATATCTTGTTACCCACTTGGTGGGGGAAATCTTGTTAGATAGCAGTGTAATGTTAATTGTAATATGAATACATCATAAATTGCTGTATTTCTCGTCAATTTTGTCACAGGGAGTACTACCGAAATTAATAGCACACTCTTTCCTGGTGTTTCTTTTGTTAATACAAGGACAACTAATGTTAACATTGGCGAATATACCAATGACAATATGGCTGTTTTACGAGTACTTTAGTGTTCCCAGCGGAAATATGGGAGTTTATGACCCCACTGAGATTCATAACCGCAGTCAATTAAAGAAATACATACGCGACGTCATGATCCATCTTGGGTATTGCCTTGTGTTCTTATTTATTTATCTCTATTGGTAGGTAAACATTAATTTTGTCCCATGTAACAAAAGAAGAAAAGAATAAATATTTAATGTTCTGTTAATTTTTCAGCCTGATTATTGTGTTGCTCAAGGGAGACCCCATCAACAGGAATGAGGATGATATAATAGACGCATAATCTCATAATTGTATATATGAAGAAATTCACCTTTCTTACATGCGTGCTCATGTTTTTTCATACTCAAGTCATACTTAAGTTTCTGAAGATTATTTGGGCAACGTATCCAGTGCACATACGGTATACACATCATATTTTTTAAGCAGTTAGGATGTAGGATAAACATTGTCATTGCTTGCGAGCGTTTTCTCGGTCGTCATTTATGGTGGATATACATATTCTCAGGTAATTATTATCGTTTAAAGTTCCTATTTATTTCATCGGAATAAATGCCAAACATTTAAACATATAAATTCTTTTGTTTGCCTTTTTTTTTACTCATGAATATTGAATAATTTGATATTTTTTATCTAAAGGCCTTAAAATGTGCTAATTTCCAATGAAATAAATAGGAACTGTACGAAAAATGTCAATGTACCACCTATTATACGTAACTTGTCTATATTGTATTCGTAGAATTTGCACAAGGTGTGCATAAGACATGCAAGTGACTAAGTCTCTAGTCGTAAAAACATAAGCGTAAATCTTTATTATAACAGATATATTATGTTTAAGAATAATAATACATCTGTGTTATTTTAATATCATATTTTATTGCCTAGATCCTGTGTATCCTGTGTATCGCAAGAACGCCATTCCCGAATGAAAATCCTCGCGAGATCTATTGTATTATCCATCGAGGTTCATTCTCTCCTCCTCTCTTCCAGCTCCTCAAGAGCGATAATCACGTTTAACGACAAACATTTTTTGGCGAAATGAACCACGACCTAATTTCTTCATCGCGCTTCATCACGTGACTCTTGTCATCATCGACTGTCTCATTTAAATGGGCTCCGAGTCGATGATAAGAAATGCTATCATTGAGCATGCCAGAACACGCGACGACGTTGTCGTGGGGAATCTACCTCGCGTGTTTGCCGTGTCAAGTTGACTTAGGTTTAATGGCAGTCGGACGAGATTGGATCGATTTAATGGGCGCGGTGAAGGTGATTAGTCTATTCTTCATGAAAAGGGCGCGCGCTTATTTTTAGATCGAATTCACAAAGCGCAATATGTACAACGTGTATATATGTGTGTATGTGTGTGCGTGCATATATCCGTTTAGCGAGCGTGTGCGTGCCGGATTTTCGTTCTCTACTGTCCGAAAAAAGTCCGAGCACCCTCACCAGCGAGCGTCATACGACGAGCAGTCGAGGGCGCGTTTAATTGACGCCGTTGTTGCGTCGTGTGGACAAACGCAAATTACTCGGAATTAATGCGAAATCGATGTAACATGCACGCGGCGGAATTTCTCAGCAATGGGGAACCGCAAATCAATCGCGCCGCGTCGACCCCGACCGGCTATATAATACGCGTTCTGCCGATATCGTGAGATAATATCGAGAGGGTTGCGCAACCCCAGTGCCGTTAACTCTCGACACGCTGTTCGCGCCCTCGTTAACGCTCGTTGGTCGATCATTCCGCCTCACTTTTCCTCTTTCTCCCGCTCCCTCGTGTGTGTACCCTTTCATACCCTTTCTCCTGCGGCCGACGCAGTCGCTTTCCATGTGAAAAGCGCGGAAGAAAGACGAGAAAGGGAGAGAGAGAGAGAGAGAGAGAGGAAGAGGGAGAGAAAGAGAGCACGCGCAATACCGCGAGAGGTATTACAACGTGCGGATTGAGAGCTCTGTACTTCCGGTGAACGAAAGTGAAGGAAGAGGCATCGGAATAGTTGATTCCCTTTGAAACCTTCATTTCGCATCGCGGGAATGTTCACGGGAGATTTCCTCTCTGTCTCGATATCATAGGTAAGATTGTAATTGAAAGAAAAGCAGCGCGAGTCAAATTCTTTCTTAGCGTCGTGCGATTCGAATCTGACGTAACTGATCGACCAACGTCGATTCGATTTTTCTCTCTGTGTGTCTAAATTGCAGATAAAATTATAATCTAAATATACTATAATCACGCGTCGCGTCATTATGTTTGTAATGACAGTCGCTTTGCAGTAACGCAAAATCCATTCAAGAGATTTTCTTTGTATACGCCTAGCCTATAATCGATACAATTCGAATTGCACGTCGACGTGTATCAACGTGTGTTAACAGTTTGACCGATCGCGAGGACATTTTTTCTATCCGCGTCGCGAGAAATTGTGAAATTGTATATTGTAAAAAAAGACGATGGGAAAGTGTCTTGAAAAGGACGGATCCTTTTCAGGACAGCCAGTCTCGCCGTCACAGTGACGTGGACCGTAGCGCGTCGGCCCATTGGCGTTTTATTTGTTAAAGAAATATAGAATAATCACAGTGGCAGACCAATGCGACACGTCATAGCTTCACAATCGTCTACTCAGCATTGTCATACGAAATCGCATTGATCCGTCGCTCTGTGAATGTTAATTCCCGGCGATTTCAGGCATTGACGAACGTCGAACGCGATTGAATCACGAAACGAATTCGGCGCGAAAGGCGTACTTGCGCGCGCGCGCGCCAGTCGGCATCTCGGTCGAGCGCCTCCTGGTGTTGACGGTGGACGGCGCGGTTGCGCTGCTCGTTGTCGTCGGTCGGCCTGTCTTGGGCGCGCGGCGCGACACTCAGCGCGGTAGGATGCAGCTGGTGTGGAGCGAATGCTGGAACAACGAGCGAACGGCGAACGGCTGAGCGAAGGTACGCGCGAGTGCTCCACCAGGTATCTTGTCGTTGCTCATCCTTGCAGAGACCAGTCCCATCGAGGCTGGACAACGAGTCCTGCGCGCGCGCGCGCGCGCTCGTTCGCGGTTAAGGATACTCGATTCGCGGATAATCGCGTCACGCCACGCTCCTGCTCGATGACGAGGTGAGATGTCCTCGCGAACGACCTTGGTGCACACACGATTATATTCGCGCTTGTGAGCTCCTCGTGACCGGCTTGGTGCGCGTATCTGTGTTACCCGAAGACACGCTGAGCGATCCTTAAGATATATACAAGCGCAAGATATATTCAACACGACGACGACGACGGCGACAGTCACCCTCGCCTTGATACCAGCAGCGGCGATTGAAACACGGTGATATACGGTGAGGTACTCCTAATGCTTGAAATCTCGATGAGGCTAACGTCGCCGTCGTCGCCGTCGTCGTCGTCGTCGTCGTCGTCGTCGTCGTCGTCGTCGTCGTCGTCGTCGTCGTCGCCGTCGCCGTCGCCGTCGCCGTCGTCGTCGTCGTCGTCGTCGTCGTCGTCGTCGTCGTCGCCGTCGCCGTCGCCGTCGCCGTCGTCGCCGTCGTCGCCGTCGCCGTCGCCGTCGCCGTCGTCGCCGTCGTCGTCGCCGCCGTCACTGTCGCCGTCGCCGTCGCCGTCGCTGTCGTCCTCGTCGTCGCGGTCGCGGTCGCCGGAGTCACCGTCGTCGCCGTCGTCGTCGTGGTTACAGCTGGTATCACCGTCACCACCGGCATAGTCCTCGTCATCACTGTCATTATCGTCATCACCGCCGCCGCTGCTGTTACCATTGTCAACATCGTCACCGTCAGTCTTGTCCTCGTGGTCAACGTCCGTGCTCCTCTGCGTCGCTACTGTCGTTCTCCATATCGCCTCCTGCTTTGCCTGTACATCTATAAGGAAGCGTATATAAGCAAGCGTCGCTCAGCTCCCGAAGAATTTAGACTCGCGATACCGTGGTACCAGGATGGCAGGCAACAAGAGTGCAATCACCATCATGCAGACCAAGCCGGTAGAAGTGTCGCAGCAGCTGCAGGATGGAGAGAAGTTTGTCAAGTGGGACGAGGTTTGTGTGTATTTTTAATGTTACGGCTGGTAGTTGACAGTTTTATGCCGGGACCTAGTAGAACTCTCTAAATGTAAAAGGTCATTTTAGATATAAGTGCTACTCCCTCCTGCTTGATAAAACCAAAAAGCAAATCAGTCTGTAATAATAGACCATGATTTAATGAAATGTTACATGCCTATCCCAATACATCAGCTTTTGTTGCCTTGTGCTGTCAGTTAGAATATTTTAGAGCGATTTAGAGAGAATAATTGTGTATATGTGAAAATAAAATCTCTCACAGTAGCAACGTTATGTGACTATAGGATTCTGGAGTAGCGACGCCGGTGACACTGAGAGTGGATAAATATGGTTTTTACTTGCACTGGATGGATCAAAATAATGAGATGGATATGTTGGACATAGCCATCATAAGAGACACGCGAACAGGGAAACACGCAAAAATACCAAAGGTATTGATGTCATATCCGTTTTCTCAGATAGTAATAAATATTTTACATGACATTATAGCGATACGTACCCGCCAGAGATACGATCTCCGATCATACTCTCTCGCGGTAATGTAGCAAATATTAATATTATAATCACACAAAGTTCTGGTCTTTCTATAATTATACTAATGACGCACAGCTTCATCACATAATAATTATTGACTCGCTTATAAATAGCACATTACCTACTTTATGTCCCATACATAGTTCACTTTTTTTTATCACGTCTATTGTTTGTACCAATGATAGGTAAAGGCGGTAATATATTCATTGAAATAATGACATGCCTCGTTGGATCAGTTTTCCTATAAATCAATATACAGAAACTTTGAATGAACTGACACACTTCTGCACGCGGCATTGTAAGCGTCTAGCTCATTTCGCAAAACTTTTTGCTTACTCATCGATGCGTTAGCATATTTTATCAGAGTTTAGATTTATTTATATACCGTGATCTCTTTGTGTCGGAGGATTCGTGAAAAACAGAGAGAGACAAAGAGAAAGAAAAAGAAAGAATGAGAGAGAGAGAGAGAGAGGGAGGGAGGGAGGGAGAGCAAGTGATTGCGAATTAAATTGCGAATTCTCCTGTAGGATTCAAAACTGAAGTCTTTCGTGACAATGGGTTATCAGGACTCCTTAGAGGACAAAACCGTAACGATCTGTTACGGCTCAGACTTTGTCAATATGAATTTTATTAATTTCTGCACAACGCGCGCAGAAATAGCACAACATTGGACAGAACAACTTTTCCAACTGGCGTACAATTTGATTCAATTAAACACTAGCACAACTATGTTCTTACTAAAAGCACATACCAAGCTTACGCTCACTGCTGATAAATCTGAAAAGATACCAGTTAAGAAGTGAGTATATGATCCGTCCCGTTGCAACGCTACTCTAAACGCTTTCTATAAAAAGAGCCGTTACTTCCATACTCGAACATTTTTTGCAGTATAATAAAAATGTTCGCACAAAACAAAGACGACCGCAAGCGCGTCGAGAAAGCACTTGATATTTCTGGCTTTCCATCCGGCAAAGTGAGTGTTTCACATTACGTCGTCGATATTAGCATTGAGGAACGTGTTTCATTGTGAATTATTCTAAACATGTGCATTTACATGTCAATAATATCTTTTCTCAGAGCGACGTCGTGCCGTTACAAAAATTCCAATTTGAAGACTTCTTTAACTTCTACAAGTCTCTTACTCAGAGAACAGACGTGGAGAAGGTTTTCGAAGGAATTGTTGGCAATAGCAAACGCAGACTGATGTCTGTCTCGCAGTTTGTGGAATTCTTGAACAAGACGCAGAGGGATCCGCGCCTCAACGAGATATTGTATCCGTATGCAAATGAAGCAAGGGCAAAGGATATCATAAATCAGTACGAACCCAACAAGTGTAATGCAAATAAAGGCCAGCTCAGTTTCGACGGTTTCTTGAGGTATCTCATGAGCGAGGACAACCCGATTGTCGCTGTCACGAAATTTGAATTGTCCGACGATATGGATCAACCGCTCGCGCACTACTTTATAAATTCTAGTCACAACACATACTTAATAGGTAGACGCGCATTAATTATTTATAAGACGCGCTACTTGCATAATTGGGATGATTGTAAGAGTCAAATTTCTTCTCTCTTCAGGGCATCAGCTTACCGGCAGGAGTTCCGTGGAGATTTATCGCCAGTCTCTTCTAGCTGGTTGCCGATGCGTCGAGTTGGATTTTTGGAATGGGAAATTCGACGAGCCCGTTATCGTTCACGGGTACGAATGATAATTTTGCGTTTAGCCGACGCGCGACGCGCACAAACTCTGTAATTGATGATACAAACGTATTTGTTTAGATATACATTTGTACCTGAAATATATGCCCGAGATGTAATAGAGGCGATCGCTGAGAGCGCCTTCAAAACGTCTGATTATCCGGTCGTTCTCAGTTTTGAAAATCACTGCAACCCAAGGCAGCAAGCCAAAATCGCACAGTACTGTAGAGAGCTCTTCGGCGAAATGTTGCTTGACGCGCCACTTGAGTCGCACAAGGTATTTTTAGATGCCACATTTAATGAGAACGCTATTAGTTACAGGTAAAGATTGTCATAAAGAACAGTCTCTTCCTTTGCTTGCAGTTAGAGCCAGGTCAAGAGCTTCCACCGCCGGCGTTACTCAAGCGTAAGATAATAATAAAGAATAAAAAGAAGCATCACCACCATCATCATAAGAAGCATCAAAAGAAGCAGCAAACGTCAGACACCGCTGAAGGCACTCCGGAGAGCGAGGAGAACGACACGGCGATTCCAGCAGTTGCAGAGGAGAACGGCCAACCGCTTGACACGACGCAACAAAACGAGATGGCCGACAGCGTCGTGCCGGGAAACGAGCAGCAAATTAGAAACGGCGATATCTCCCACCCTCCGATGCTGCAACAAAGACAGGGTAGTAAAGATAGTGCCCAGGATGATGAAGGTTCGTAAATAGAAAATTGAAGCTATAAATATGCCGACGGAAAGCACGCGTATTTAACGCTCTGTTTATTTCTTCAGACGAAGAGGATGAATCGAGCACAGAGGAAGACGAGTCTAATGTGGAGGACATTAAACTGAGAATAGGTGATAAAGTGACCGCGCCGGATAAAGCGTCCGCAGCCAAGGAGACGGAAGCTGGTGCGGAAATTTCGGCTTTAGTTAATTACGTGCAGCCCGTGCATTTCAACAGTTTTGAGTCGGCCGAAAGTACGTGGAAAAATATATCCGAATGAAACAGTTTTAATTCACTTCGAAGATGCATCTCTTACATCACTTGTACGATAAAATTTATTTTGCAGAAAAGAATCGCACGTACGAAATGTCGTCCTTCGATGAGAAGCAAGCGACGACCCTTTTGAAAGAGAGGCCGCTAGAGTTTGTGAATTACAACAAGCATCAGCTGTCTAGAGTTTACCCGGCGGGAACGCGATTCGATTCCAGCAATTTTATGCCCCAAGTATTTTGGAACGCTGGGTGTCAGCTGGTTGCATTGAACTATCAAACACTTGGTTGGTACATGACGTTTTATTCGGTACATTACTTTGCCTGCTACATGTTGCTTTCGTCATTAATCGATCGAATGATTTTCTTGCTCCGCTAACAGATCTGGCGATGCAATTAAACTTGGGGATATTCGAGTACAACCAACGTTGTGGCTATCTGTTGAAACCAGAATTTATGAGAAGGAAAGATCGACGCCTGGATCCATTTGCCGAATCCACCGTGGACGGTATTATAGCGGGCATGGTTCACATTCACGTGATATCCGCGCAATTTTTAACTGACAAGAGAGTAGGCACGTATGTGGAAGTAGACATGTACGGTCTGCCGGCGGATACCGTACGGAAGAAATTCCGCACGAAGATCGTTCCGAATAACGGCATCAATCCTATTTACGATGAGGAACCGTTTGTATTCAAAAAGGTACTCGTAGAACAATAAATACATCGCGTGTCTGAATGTCGTATGTCATAAACGTGCGGTCGTAATACGCCGTTCTCGCATTCCTTCAGGTAGTTCTGCCTGAGCTTGCCTCGATAAGAATAGCCGCGTACGAAGAGTCCGGGCGCTTAATCGGTCACAGGGTATTACCTGTAGTCGGGCTATGCCCAGGATACCGACACGTCGCCTTGAGAACGGAATGTGGGCAACCGCTACCGTTAGCGAGCCTGTTTTTACATGTTATCGTGAAGGACTATGTCCCCGATGGTCTCAGCGAGCTCGCCGAGGCTTTAGCAAACCCTATCAAGTATCAGAGCGAAGTGGAGAAGAGAGCGCAGCAGTTGTCGGTTCTTACAGATTGTTTAGAAGCACCGTCGGAAGAAACGAATGAGGTACGTTGTTAAACGTCACGCCCCGAACGATTTGTTATTTTCGCTTATTAACAATTTAATTGTTCCATCTTTACTAACACTAATCACTAACGCGTTTTTAGGATAAGCTTAAAACTAGCGACGCTCCTAGTTCTTCTAAACCAGCTGTAAGTTTATGCACACGATCTCATCCTGCATGCTGCGATCCTGTAACCTGTAACGTATATCGCTAACAATGTTGCTTTCACGCACACACGCACGCACGCAGGATGAAACTGTAAAGGCTAAACGATTACAGTCAATGGGCGAGTTACCAGGTCTTGTACCAGTTTCCAGTAGCTTACACGGCAGACCATCCATCGCCGGTTTGTGCAGTTCCGAGACAATCGACATGGAGGACGTTGCTCCAACCTCGTCAGTTCAAGTAGCCGACACATCGATAAGCAAAAGTCCAGTCAATGCCAGCAATAGTGAGTGTTTCTTTCCGCTTCTTTGATTGTTTGAGAATGTGCTTAGCCCGTGTTGCATTTCGACAATCCTTTTTCTTGTCTCTTAGTGAATGATGATATAATAGCCGAAAGTCTGGAAAAGCTCATGGAAAATAAGTTGGTCAGGGAGAAGAAGATGGAGCTCGAGAAGAAGCTCGAATCTCTGCGGAAGAAACACGAGAAGGAGAAGATGCGAGTGCAGTCGCAGAAGAGCACGATCGACGGCGAGAAGCACAAGTCCAAGTTCTACATGAGCAACAAACTGGTGAAGCGACTGTCGAGCAAGAATATGTAAGTATACGAAAAGGACGTGGCAAAATTCTATAATTTTCAATTGCATCATTTTTAAGCAGTTTTTCGAGTGAAGTGGGTTTAAGCACCTTGGCTATGGCTGAGTCTTCCGAGTGCCCGGACGTGGAGAATCGCGAGGGAAACGAAGGGGTACCTAGGGGTTTGCCTAGAAGCCAAAGCGAGCGATTTTTAGCTGTGTGCAAGGCACACGTTCAACAGGAGCGCGAGCTACAAGAGAAGTATTATGACAACCTGTTTGCGATCGTCGAGAAAGTAATGAAGGCATCGCAGTCCAATCAGTTGAAGACGCTTCGGGTGCTTTTAGATAGAGAAACCGCAGATGTCATGCGAAAGCTACAGGCTACGAGACATGGCGAGGTATTATGTCCAGTCATTATGTTCTCCCTTTATATACTATTCAAACGTATGAAATAACGAAATCGATCGTTGCACCTCTTCTGTCATTCAAGGTCAAACAATTGGCCAAAGTGCACAAAGACAAAGCCGAACTGGATCGTATGAAGAGAGAAGTTGCGAAATCGACTGTGGAGAAAGGCGTGAACGAATGCACGCGCTTGACAAAGATTTACGACAAGAAGAGAGCGGAATTGGAAAGGCAGCATGAAGAGGTGCGACTGAGGCTTGAAGAGGAGCGAGCCAAGGTTTGCGTCCTACCATAACGTAACACAAACGAGAAAAAGAATACACATCGTTTAATCATTTTAAGGTATGTTTTTCTCTCGTGATGTGATAGGTAAAGGCTAATTTGCTAGCAGAGTACAGTAGTCGCTATAGCAAATACGAGAGTGGCGAGTTACCTTTGTTACCTACCGGCGGAGCCAGCATGCCTGAATCACTCAGCGAGAACACGTATTGACTCACGCTACGAGTCGTCTAGCTGTGTCGACTGAAAACCACGTCTCGGTTCGCGGCTCCCGCGTGCCACGTTACACGTGTCGCTCCAGGCATCCCGTATGCAACTTGGTGCGTCGAACACGAGTTATGAATTCCGTAAATCGAGAGAGACATGTGGGGAGGAGAAACTGAGATTGTTACACTCGGTCGTGACGCCTCCCGACATTCGCACGAAGAAACGAATCGGTACTTGCGACTAACGATGTTGGCATACAGTGCTTATCTACAGGTGCTCGACAATGATAAAGAAGACGTTCTTGCAGTCTCTCAGCGGGGACGTCGATACGATGAGACAGGTGTGAGCTGTACCGAGAGAACGTGATTTCGGGCAGCTCGGTGTAACACGAAGCACAGACGAGCAGCGTTTTACGTATGTACGATATAATTGTATGTATATACCGAACTTTTACCGTTTAATACTTCAAGAGATTAGATGGTCGAATAATGGATCGAGGTAATTTTCTATTACTTCAAAACGCTGTGTCTTTTACTACAATGATCATTATTCGATCGATGCGATCGCGCGTATGTGTTGGTCGGTATGTCTTCGATCGATCCTGTCGCTAGACACGCGGAACGCGCCGTGTCTTGATCTCTTTACGATGAAACGTCTGCTTAATAACGCGGGAAAGCATAACGGGAAGAAGGAAGGTGAGGGATATACAATGTCAGACTTTAACGATAAGTCTGAGATACTTGGCACAGTATTAAGCAGTCTGGGATTTCGGGATCTGAAAAATCGGCATTCGACGTTGTCGGTTACGTAGCGCGGTAACGACGGTATCGTTCCGTGAGAGATATACGCGCGAGTGGGTGTATAATTCTAAATAAGAGCAACTTTCCTAAGTGCTAACGTTTAATATTGTTGTTATATGCATAAGGCGTTATTTAATCGATTACAAAACTATTTCTAATCACGTTCCACAAGATACTCCGTTTACGCGGTAAATGAAAAAATTGATCTTCTCGACTCTACTCCGTAAGTCTCAGATCTCAGGAGATTCCAGTCAGAATGATAACAAGTATATCGAGAGGGTGTAATCTCTTTGGCCTAGAGGAGAAACATTGGAAAGTGCTGAGAGAGAGAGAGAGAGAGAGAGAGAGAGAGAGGGGGGAGGAGAGAGAGAAATTCGCACGAACGCACGCGTGTGCATGCACGTACGCGTACGCGCGCGATAGCGATCTGATATATATATATATATATATTTTTGACTGAAAGTACTCCGTATAAAGTAATTTTTTTCCGGAGTTGCCCGTGCTATATAGGGAGGGCAGGGGGAGGGGCGGAGAAATACTGAGACATTATATTTCGCCGCGGGCGCGAGAATATCTCAGTATCCTACCGTGTATAGAGCGGCTCTTGGTATCCCGAACGGTCCGGTCGGGCAAACCTCTTTGAGGAAGACAATCAAAAATGTTACGAGGTAACATTGTCCTTGTTGTTTCTAATCGTATGTTATTTTAGATTATATGCACTGCAATACGTGTACACAGATATCTGTGAAGGGATTCTTCGTAATTATAACGAACTTAGGGTTAAAACTTGTCGCAATGTAAGTCTGTACCGTGTAAAGATCCGCTATTTATTCGAAAAGGAAGAAAAAGAGACGCGTTGATTTAACGAAGCCCAGAGGTACGCGAGGTGTACGCGAGGTGATTACGCGATTGCTTGGCGGAACCATCTGGCGATAGTCGCGCGCGCGCGCGAAAAGCGATAACGTAATCAAAGATGACTTCTTATACAGAATATTTAATATTGTACACATATACACATGTATATCTATACACATATACTTAAACAACGCGCGCGGTTATACATACATTTCATCGCGATTTATATTATTTATTTTGCGTTGGTCGAGGGATCGCACGCGTGCATCCAACATTTCGGTATAGAGGCTGAACCGTTCGGATTTTGTTCGGAGCCACTGACGGTTCGATCCATCGTTAAACATTGGCGAGTCAAGCAAAAAGTGATTTACGAGTGATCTCGTGTGTGGCATTTATCGCGTTCGTTGAAAAGACGCTTTTCACTTGCGCGTTGTATCTCACGTCAAGTATATTCTTTCGCTGCACGTACTTACATCGACAGTGTTCCGCTTAGATCTGATTGACAAGAATTACCGATTACGTTTACGTATTCACATAGACGCAAAAGAACTTGGTGCTTATCCGCAGTTATTAATCAAACTCGCGACTGAATCTCGACACAGATTATAGTACAGTTCGATGTGACGAATTACATTGAGCGCTTACAAAGCACAAAGGATACGTATCCATCTGAATTATATTAATCAATTTGCGCGCTTTGTAGTTGTTTTATATAACTTGGGTGAGTTCATTTTTTCTAGCTCTTTTTGAAATTAACTCGGTAGAATCGCGATATATTTGACGAAGTCTCTTGATTTCGTGAAATTGATCAAAATCTTATAATTGTTTGAAGAAAATGGCTTCTCTTTATACATATATGATTTATTACGTGCAATATTAGTCTAATGAATGTCGCGTGCGATGAGAAATCAACTCAAATTTACTATTATTCTATTGTACAATCGCGTTGTTGTGCTTGTCGCATTATTTTCGCAAGTTTTGCGGACGACGAGCAGAGTAAATCTCTGGGGGAGTAAGTAGCGATTACCGTTCCAGTTTTTTCCAATAAGTCGGAGGGAGAATGATCAATTAAAATAGATACATTTATTATTGTTGGCGATAGTGCATCTCGTAAATAACGTAAGAAAACGATAGATCCTGAAGAAAGTTGTATCCCGTGCACCTCCCTCGGATATAACGCGAGATTTCGTTCGTCCGTAAGATATCAGGAGTAACGGCATTTGTATTTCCTTTCTAAATAATCGTGACGCTGCCGCGTGTTTTGCAGGAGAGAGTAGCTGACACACTATTGCGTATCTCGCCGGTAGGCTTAGGATTTACACGCGACACACACGGGTTCATCGCGTTGTACCGCAAAGTTACCATTTCTTAGTCGATGTTAATTTTCGTGGTTGCATTTCCTCCGCAAATGAAGTTACCGATCGTTCGTGAGGTTGCTTTCCATCGCGACTGACGCAGTCTGATTTTCTCTTTGCCGATCAGAGTTGACAGATCGTGGCGATGATAATGACAGCGATGGCGATATGAATATATTCGAGGCAACTTGTTAGTAGCTCTTCCGTCTGGCACGAAGAATCCGATAGTATCGTTTATGCATTAAATGCGCGACGTTTCTCGCGGAATTTGGCCAGGCATTTCGTGCTCGATCAAGTACGCAGGTCCTTTGCGACAAGTCGGGCGAGTTCCGTGGTGATGGCAATGCGAGGAATCACGCTTGAGCGTTCGTAAATTCCGTCGCGTACTAGATTCCTAGATCGTTGTCGATGGCACATTCTCTTTCCAGTGTTTTGCATAGTGATAAATTTATTTCGGGTCTCCTCTTTTCGACGTTGGTTTACTACGCCTGTAAGTTCTTTCAATGTTTCGCCTCTCTAGAGAGGCACGTATTTTAGTGTGATCGTTGCGTTACCTTGCGAACGTGCCTCTCGAATATTATTATGCGTATTGTGTATTATAGAGAGAGATACGTAGATCTTGGTTTCTCTCGGTATCGCTTAGAATCGAAGATCCGCCGACTTCTCGTAGTATATTTCGTTGCTCCGAGCTCTACATGCTGTCTCGTCGAAGCCGAGGAGGAGAGTCGTTGTGGCGCGCACGAGACAATTGGAACATAAGCGACGCGAGTGTCGGGCGGAGAGCAGTGGTATGTTTCCGGTTAATATTAGTTTGCGTTTCTCCTATGTTCCGCTCTATGGTGTCCTCCGCGTCACCTTTCGTCGCGGGCCTCGTCGTTCTCCGTTACCTAATTAGTCACTTGTCGCGCGCACACAGTGTGATCTACCTATGCATTTATGTCTTTCAATTAGACCGGATCGGCGCTGTGTATCCTGTCGGAGATCCTTTTCGCAGCGTGTGTGATCGCCGTACGGATGTCGCATACTTTGCTTGAAATATGGTTATCTCGGCGTCGTTCTTTTCCTATACATTCGTGTGACGTACGCGTATGTACGTCACACACCACACACACACACACACACACACACACACACACACACACACACGACAGATATATACACACGCACACACACGTATGTAAATGTATATACGAGCATAGATTTACGTTCTAACGATATAGATATTATATTCACGTTGATATATTATGTGTTGTTGCTGTTGATGTTGTTAATCGTAGGGTAGCGATACAAAGTGGGTAGTGGCTAGCGTGTAATCATTGTTAATAGGAACTACGGGGAATTAGAGAGAAGCACAGAGAGAAGGGAAGCAGAGAACGAGCAGCAGTTGTACACGTTGCACTGCACGACGACGAGCACGTTCGCGCGCGGATTATTTATTATTGATCCGCGGTCGATCGATCTTCGGACGCGTGCGTCGCGATGTTACCAGTTTATTGTACCTGCGATCTCGTCTGCCTTTAACCACCCTGGCGCTGCGTTGCGCTCGGATGTCTCGTTCGTTCGCTTTCTCCCGAAAGCGAAGAGAGTCTCGAGGAGTCTCTTGGATCACCTCCTGACCTCCAGTCAGCGGATTTAGGATCCTCACTTGTCTGTCTCCGAAGCACCATGGTGGTTAACTTCAGCGACCGGTACCTCTCGCGAGGGGTGCCAGCACTCTGTAATGCTATAAGATTTGCCAAATAGATATTTATAGAACACGTCGGAGCGTCGAAGATCTCATCGCCGATCCTTGTAACGGATGTGCTCGTCGTCCCGGAAATAAGAGCGCGGGGAGATATCTACAGGCGTATGTTATACATATATATATACATATAAGGTATGTGTAGTTTGAAACGGCCTACAAACGATCGTAGCAATTCGGCTCAGCTATGTATTATTCCTTTTCTCTTTTTGTCGGTTTCGTTTTCCGACGACGTCGTACTGAAACTCGAATTGCAGCGTCTAAGCGGCCGCCGTCGATATGCGATCGTGCCGGGAGCGCGCGATGCTTCCCGCACGCAGCAGGTTTATCCGTTACATAAGGTCTTCCGCCGTCAAGTCTGCTCATCTGTCTCGCGTCCTTCCATCGTCAATCCTTTGAGCTCAACTATAATAACAAGGATCTCCTAACAACGACTCTTCGTACCTGAACACTACAGTCCCGGCACTGCGCGTCCTCCATCGATTCTGTCGAAGCATCGAAGTGAGCGAAAGTCCTCCGACGACACATCGGATCACATCTACGAAGAGAGAATCAAACAGAAAACAGAGCAAAAAAAGAAACAACGGTAGTCTCCTTAGCGCTCTCGAGAGAAGGGGGGATAGATTCCGAAGTATTTTCTGCGGGACTGGCGGTCGATTAGGCTGCGTCAATAGATCGAAGAGATATTACGAATTCGTTGCGATTGCTGCAAATATACCGCGCGACTTTCTGCCGCTTGCATGTTCAGTTTCTCTTTTGACTCGTCAGCGACGTCCTCTCGCTGACACTCGAACCGACAATGAAATAGAGTAATTCTCGATGTACATAAGATGCAACGACGATATTCTTTTGTCGAAATTCGCAGGGCGCTTGCGTATTGCGGTTCTGAGTTGCTTACTTACTGGAGAAACACTCTCCGGTATTCCGAGGAAATTTGCCTTATGACACGCGCGATCGCGCGCTGTCATTCATTCGATGCTTGATTCGATGCTGTCGATTGTTATATTGCAAAAGTTATACGCGCGGCGGAGCGTACCGTTATTGAGCGCGCTCAATCAGCGCCGCGCGGGTCTTTATGTTCAACGATTCTACATCCGCTTCGTGATCGAGAGCTTGATTAACATCGTAATTGCGACGTAGTGTCGATTTTTGCGTTTAGAGCGTTCGCTAGGTGTGTGTCTACATGAGTGTGATTATTCGTAAGTAAGGTGGTAGTTAGCGCGCCGAGGCGAAGGAATAAGGAGGAGGGACAAACTCAGCGATTGATTGTGTAATTGTAGTTAGCAGTCGATAGTGTGGGTGTAAATGCCTGACGTGATGTTACGTGTAGTAGTGCGCATATACACAGATGTATACGTTGTTCAGGTTTGTATCGAAAGACTAGTAGTTGTGTCCCCCCCCGTACAAATGATTTCGTCTTCCCTCTTTGGCGACTCGATCGACGTCGTGTCGTGTCGTGTCGATTTCATTCAGCAGCGTCGCCGTCGTCGCGCTTGACGACAGGACTCCGACTGTGCAATTGTCTTACCGATGCCCTACGTTAGCTTGTTCCGTTGTTCCGCACCTTACGCATTATGCAACTAGGACAGCTTTACTTTTATTACTCGGTAGTCTCGTTTGTATATCGCTCGATCGTAATTGCAATTGATTCCGTTTATCGTTAAGTCCTACTTTTGTTTTTGTAAATAGTACAGCAACGAGAGAAAGAGAGAGAGAGAGAGAGAGAGAGAGAGAGAGAGAGAGAGAGGAGGGAAGGAGAGATTATAATGATTTGTTGTGTTCACACATTTTGATTTTCGTGTCCTGTCTTCCGATTCTCCTCTTCCGCATTCCATGTTGAACTTTGAACTTAGAGAGGTATCAGTCGATATCGTACGATGACGTGATACACTTGGCATGAATTCTTTGTTATTATGTGATCGTTGATATCAATTAGGAGGCGTTAGAATCTCGATTAATTTATTGAAACTTAGTGACGTTAAGTATAATTGGACGATTATCTTGTTTGTGTGTATATTTAATTATCCGAGTCTTGATTTTATAATTATCAGTCATTGTACGTTGCTTTTTCTTTTATTTTGCGATGATTCAGGGGTCATGTTCTAAATTCAACGACGAACTTTCTCGGAATGAAAGTAGCTTGATGATGTCGCAGTTAATGTCGTATTATTCGCGTGTTTTATTTATCTTACATAATGAACGAAAATTGTTCACGTTTATTATTTAGAGATTTCACACTCACACAGTTTTGCCCCATTTATCGTTAATTATTAATTATATAATCACTTAATAGTTTTGTTAATTTTTTTTTTTAGAAATTCATCGTGTCGCGCATACAGTATACGTATTCGATGTTTTGGAGTCTCGAAGGTGTAAAGAAATGATTAATCGCGGCACGGAGATACACGTGAACGCGCGAATATCCGAGTTAAAATTTATGTCGGTATTCATAGTTCATCGTTACTTGACAAATCATCATAGTTTCGTGAATTTTTCGTCAGCCTGTGTTTATTTCACACGTGAAACATCAATCCACGGTGAAATAATGATTTATGAATACAAATCTGTGATTGATTTTAAATATAAAATTATGCATAATTCATCACTGTGAAATTATAATTTATGCTCTTAGTATTGTTTCTTGGAAATTTCAATATAATTTGAAGATTCAACAGGATCGAAAGAGAAGGCAATTGCGTATTCATTAATTTTCCGCATCAATAGAAATTTAAATCCGGAGAGTCGGTACAATAACAATGAATCGAAGTGAGAAGATGGCGTGCTCAAGGTAAAACATGTTTCAAGGAGCATGTTGTTAGAGAAACAAATCTCAGCACTTGCGAGACTTGGGTTGATACTCATAGTTGCAAATTACTTACGATTTTCGATCGAGAACATAATCAATTGCAGATTCGTATTGCAAGTTGTTATTTGATTGTTTGATTGTCAATTTTTCTCGCGCGAAATAAATATTACCGATTTATGAATATAATTATAGAGATTCATAAAAGTATGATAATTTATCAAATAACAGCAAACTACGAATGCCAGCTTCAAAACAGATTCTAAGTTTCGACTCGGGTCGGTAGAAATAAAAAGCTCGTCCTGTGCTGTTAGCAATAGTTGTCGATTAATCACGTCGGCGATGTCTAACTATTATTATATATATATGTGTAAATCTCGCGATGTCTCGATCTTAATCGCGACAAGAGGAACGTAATGGGAAAGAAAGAAACGATTAGGGCAGAGACTAGAATTTAATCCAAAAATGATTTCTCTCCTCTGACTCACTTGTGCCTTGCCCTCGATCATCCTTCGCTGTTCTGTATCCAGGTATCCCTCTTTTCTAAATAATCGTCTTCGATGTTCGATGTCCTTTCTACGAATAAGAGACTACCAAGTGATCGGTACATTAAGAAGCGTGCTCCGTTTGCCATAATGATATTAGCTCGTAATCGATAAATGTATACCTAATAATCTTACAATTTAGCCCTTAAAATTCAAAGCGACCGCTAAAGCATTCGGATCGCAGGTATTGTTGGATCTCGCCTTCGAGAGATTGCATCCAGAACATTTACAGATATAATGCTCACAATAAGTGTCCGCAATTATTCCGTTACGATCGTCTAATCTTCGCGGAGTTACCCTCCGCTTGTCTGTCTCGCGAAGAAATCAGTTTTCGGATAATCAAAAATCGTGGGCGAGACTCGACGTTCATCGGATCGAATGCTTTGCGGTTTTCGCGGTTTATTATAAAAAAAAAAAACGCCGCTCGGTTTGAGCGCGTTTGTGACGTATTATATGCTAATTATGAGGAATCATCATCAGAACGGAAATTCGTATAGTTTCGCAACAAATGAAACTCAATGTATTCTTTTCGCACGAAACGCCGAGACGGGGTGAAGGACGGCGCGCTGTCGTCGTATAGACGGTACGCGCGGTATTGTTTTTGCGCGTGTTATTGTTTGGGACAGAGAAAGAGAGAGAGAGAGAGAAAGAGAGAGAGAGAGAGAGAGAGAGAGAGAGAGAGAGAGAGAGAGAGCCCTCGAGATTCGTTACTTATATTATCGATGCAGTATTGATCCGTCTCGGACGCGTCTCGGTCTATCTTGACAAGAACAGTCGTGACGAGGTAATTAGTGAAATCATACGAAATTCCGTGTCCTAATCATCGTACAGCGGATCATGGGAGGCTGCTGTGGCAGGTGATGTCCTCGTTCGTGACGACGATCTCAAAGGTATATTGATAACTAAAATTTATCCGGTTGATAAGTTTTATATCCGTTAATCGCATCCGCGAGAGAAAGAGAAAGAGAGGCGGACGGACGGAAATGACACGTGGAACCGGCGATTGTAGCCGTGGCTATTTACTTGTCGCGGAGCTCGACTTGAATATCGAGATTTTGATACCAGTGTCGTAGAGTCTTTCGCAATCGTCCGCGGCGTATTTGTACGTTATGTTAATCACCCCACGGGGAGATTATTTTCGAATTTTTGCGTGACGGTTCATGAATTATGTCGAGCAGGTCGAACGGTGGCCCCTCGTTTGCGCGTAGAAAATCGTTTTTGTGTATTATTCAAACGAGAGTGCGTCGCAGCATTGCGGAAGAATAGAGGATATTTCGTGACACGCAGCAGCAGCAGTATACAATGGTAGTCCGAACCGCTTCCATACCGCTCGATAGGTCTCAAATGCGCTGTCGCTTGAAGAAAGTGCGCCTAGTTTCGCTCTCGCTTCGAATTAGATCGAAATAAAGCTACGGCTACGGGAGAAATACGCATGGCATCAGCGTGCGGTTAATTGTCGCTACGTAATGAGGGCATTAACGAGAGAGAGAGAGAGAGAGAGAGAGGAAGGGCGCGTTCACGCGAAGCTAGTCGTATACTTCTTGAGAAGCGCGGTTGTGTCAGAACAGATTCGGTGTCAGCAATTTTAAGACTATTTGTAAATCCTGAGTGTATTTTTTAGAGAACAAAGTTAGCGACATTGTTACCCGCTATGCGAATATCAAGTACCATAACATTCACTTATATCCGTACAATGACCCACGAGTTACGATGATATTCTATAAATGGCTCTGTACTATTGTAAAATCAAAGACATAGCGTACAATAAAGTTTAGTGTCGTAGGAGATTCGGGTTGTTCGACGGCTGATGAAAGATGTGATGGTGGAGGTGAGGTGAGATGAGATGAGTTATGTTGTCGTTTCTTTTCCCTCTCGTCGCTTCCATTGCTGGTGTGTTCGTGGAAGAAGAGGAATAGATTAGTAGAGAAATATTTGAGTCGAGGAGACGTGTCGGTGGTGAAAATAATTGGACACTTTGTTCATTGCTGTGATTGTAACATTTATTTTCTCCAGTTCTGATGAACGATAGTTGCATTGTTGGGTAATATAGAGATATCTCGACTCGTATTAATATAGAAACGATAATTCTGCAAATAGTTAACGTTTCAGTGTTCGATTAGTAATGAAATGTCTAAATCTCCCACGAAACGTCAGAACATCCCAACGAATTACTTTAATTTTAGCTTAACTCGGCCATGCCTATCGCCTGATATCTGGTTCGAAGATTAAAATCTATAGGTATGTTTCTATATGCATATTACATTTTACGCATACAGGATAGGTTCGTGGTTTTTTTACGTACGTCAGCAGTATGTAATATTTGTCCAACGTGATTTTCTCGCTTCCGTTTTTGTTTTCGTTTTCCGGTGTCTGTTGCTTCTTTTTATGCAGACGCACTATCTCTGTAGTCATTACTTCATCCATCAAATCGTCCATGTATCTGTCCTTTAAGTTGTCTGGCATATTCGAGATGAAAGGGTCCACTGCTAACACATGTGCTGTGCAAAGTCAAAAAAAAAAAGAAGAAACGTTGTGACGTTAGCTTTGAGCAGAGGAAGAAAGTGCATCTGTAGTGATCAATTTCACGCTAAATCAATTACGATCATCTAATTTAGCTTATCTTATGTTCTCTATTCGCGGAAAATCGTACATTTTTTATCAGTTACTGTATTCATCAGTCGAAAGAATATTGACTCCGTCATACCTCTTAGCGTTTGTCGATTCTCGTACGTATATGTCGTTTGTCTCTCACTACAATGAATAACATGAAATCCCGTTTCCTCCAGAATCTTCCGCAGAGACGCCCTCGAGTCTTTACAATATTGAAAATATGGTATATAACGATTTATGTCCTGAAGCGAACAGAGAAACGCACATTTATTTGAAGTTGACATCCGCTGGGCTTATTGTCGCGTTATAGATACGCGTCGGATTATTTTTATTGTCATTGTTACCGTCATATAAGGCTCGTATTGCGGTTCTTTTTTCATCTCACGATACGATTCGAAGCTGTCGTGATGTGCCATAAATTCGATCAGCGCTTTGCCGCCCGGTCGCAGTAGCTTGTAAATATTTCGAAACGCGCGCCTAAATTTGATACTTTATTAGAGAATTGCCAGTTAAACGAGACAAATATTTTTTATAAATTTAATGGGATATATATTTCTTTAATGATACGCAACGATCTCGCGTGTGACGTCTAATTTCCCTTTGAAGAAGAATCGTGAAAGCTATCAGTTTTGTATTTGTAAAAGAATGACGCGAGATCGTCTTGTCGTATAGACTGTCTCGAAACTATCGTAAAACCTGTGTAATTGTTAGTACATTTTTTATAAAATAATGGATATCAAAGTACTTTATATCTCGGCACCAATGCATGCATGAGAATGATACTACACAGTCGTATTGCTCGATCTCCTCGTTCGGTAGCAATTCCGTCTCGATATCAAAAACTTTGAAGGACAATCGTTTGTCGTCGGCATAATTCAGATTTCCGTAGTCCGTCATGTATTGAGATATATCGGCACCTGTAAGTCAAAAAAAATACGTAAGGAAGAGAGTGAAACGCGTCAGCAAGTTTGTGAAACAAATTTCCACTTGTTTACCTACGACCACTACATCGGAGTGCAATCTAGGTAATAATAGCTCTTTGGTCACATCTCCGGGTCCCGATCCGATGTCCATGCATTTGCCTCGAACCAGCGCTAATTCGCTGCTAAATTCCTCCAAAATGTTCTTGGCGGATTCACGTTGCATCATGTTCGAGTTCATGTAATATTTAGGCGAAATCATGCTTGCACCGAGTTTCTTACAGAAAAGTGAAATAACAAATCTGCAAAAGTTTGATTCACACAGTTGAACAAAATTATTTCGTTCGAGTAAGTCGTCTTGCGTAGTCGGTCACTACTGAAAATAGTCCTCTTGGAAAACCCACGAAAACTAAAGAAGAGAAGACAGCTGCGATTTATATAGTAGTCATTCTAGAAACGATGGAAAGGTGGGGATGTATGTTTTGTACGTAGAATTCTACTTCATAACATCTTGTGTTGTGCTTCTTTGAATTCTTTCATAATTTCCTTGTTGTGATGCCCCTGGTTTTATGAAATTTTTTCTAAAATGGGTTCTTTAGGGCGGATTCTCCCTAAAACGGGTTCTCCATACAAGATTTCTTCTGTTATGTACAATAGACGAAATTAATCTGCCGTTAATTTAACAAATTACTATTTAAATCGTGATCGTATGATGGTATCATTCTCATTTGTCGATATTTAAAAAAAAATAACTTGCATGTGTCTTGTGTCATTGTGTTTGTGTTGAAGTCATACGTTTTGAAATTCAGAATTTTTTTAAACTGCGAGGTCATATTTTTAAAATGTCATGCACTCTTATGATAAAGATAATGTATCGTTAAAACCTGTCGATATTACGTAACTTATTTTTCAATCGAACAAGCGCCCTTGATTGAACATCGATTGGCATGATGAGTGCATAATTACTAAAACAAATATATACATCTCATCGAACCAACAAAAAGCGGGTGATACCAAACATTTTCGATTATGACTTTATATCATGTTTTCTGTTGCATTGGCTTGATATGGCTAAATAAAGTTTACTGGATTTTGCATAACGAAAGTTGTGTTACGAATTTCTGTTCTAACTCGAAAGTTGTAGAACGAAACGAATATTCTAAAACAAAACTTTTTATCAAATAATTGCAAATATTTCTCTCTTTTTTTTTTTTTAATGATATACTTGAGTTGTGTTTATGTGGTTCGAGATTGACCCGCGATACAATTGTTTATCTCTTCATGACGTAACTACTATTCTTTCACTGACCCGTCTCTCGACATGTTATTCTTTTCCATATTTTACATTCTTTTTTCTACGAGAATAGAATCAGAGGTAGAGACGTATGTATATATATACGGGTATACAGTTGTCATTATCGTGTCGTGACCTTAATGGTTAGTGCACTGAGGTCGGATAATTTTGGGATTGTTTTTGCCTCTATGATTACAATTGTTATATGTATATATATATATATATAATATACCATTATAGATAGATAGCTATATTAAAGAAACAAAGGTTGCTTGGAGCAACATACGTACATTAGAAATACTCGTATTTGAAAATGAATTTTCTTTTTTCATCCTTTAGACATGGAAACTAATATTTTTTTTTTGTAAAAGTGTCAGACCCTTTAAATTATGAATATTTATAAAAAAGTAGAGTTCCACATTTTTACTCCTAGTCTACAGCATATTATTATAAAAGCTCGTTAAAATCCGAGAGGGACATTATCGTGGGTTTCTTTGCGAGACGAATTTTACCGTAACTTTATTCGGTCAACGGGGCTTATCGCTATTAATCCGCAATTCGATCGAGTACGAAGTGGAAGACCCGCTCGGATCCTAACCGGGACATCCGAGCCCTTGAGCCGCTCTTATCTTACGGTCGCATGTATTTGCCTCTCGGACATCGCCGTATTTGCATATGCGATGGCACACTCCATACACGTCGAGATAATATACAAGGTGTTTTCCTAATCAAACACCCGTATTTCACGACGAGGGTGTCCTTCGTTTTTCGGCACCCCGAGAGTGGCTCTTAAATCTCGCTTGAAATCGACCATACTCGCCCTTACTCGCGTATAACCTCGGATTTTCTCCCAATCCCCCGTGCCGGAATTCCCCGAACCACTTTATCGCGCACAGAAATTTCGATAATGCTATCACCGGGTTCGCCGATGCTCATTCGGCTCTCTCTCTCTCTCTCTCTCTCTCTCTCTCTCTCTCTCTCTCTCTCTCTCTCTCTCTCTCTCTCTCTCTCTGGTCGCGCGTGTTCCTTTATGTCTCACATATTAAATCAATCTCTTCGCTGCGCGCATTTTATATATTTTTTTTCCTCGGTGATTGATGCAACGGGACGAACACGTTCGAGTCTCGTCACGTTACGTTACATCGGAGTTGACGTTATGCTCGTCCTTCCCCAGCTACCGTAAATCAGTTTGGCGACGCCTGTATAGAAAATATTTATGAAACTCGGCCGAGTTGACCCGCTCCTCTGACGCCCCGGCGCGCGGCGGCTCTCTTTTCTCTCGCCGTCTATCTCCATTTTCCCTTGCGCTCTGCGCGAGGTAATGCAATATGCACTCGCGTCTCTTTCAAAGGAGATAACAAAAGGTCGTAGCGCGTACGCACCACCGCCCGGAGTTTATAGAAGCACGGAAGCGCGCAAGAAAGCTCTGGGAGATGGAAAGATACGTCGGTCCAGCCAGAACGCAGTCACCATCGTCATCGCTCTCAACGTCGACGTCGTCGTCGCTCTCAACATCGACGTCGTCGTCGTCGCAGCTACGCGTCATTTTCTCATCGTGCTCGATCAGATTACTCTCCACTTGCGCGCGCGAGCCCTTGTAAATTTTTAACGACGCCCGACTCGGAAATACTGGCCGCCTTTTTTACAACAGAACGAAACTGCGTACGCGCTCTCCTTTATCACGCGCCGGGCCTCGCCCCTCGTCGCCGTGCAAAATATAGCGCGAGAAACCGCCGCGGCGAAGGAGCAGGAGCAGGATAGTAAAGTAGGTACGAGAAAGGAACGGATTAACGTGTCTGCAAAATTCCTGCCCGCGCGCCAGTGCGCTGTGTGGGTGCCTTGCGTCGCGACCTTATTAAATATGTACTCGCGGAACGGAGAGACTTTACGAGTGCGACGTCGCGTATGTCGCGTGCGCTCTCCGAAATTTCCCTCCCGCGGCTCTCCGTCCTCCTTTCCTTTTTCTCCCTTTCTCTCCTTCTTTACGGGGCCGTTTCGGCCAGCGCAGAGGGTTCGGCGATGGGGAGCAGAGAGAGAGAGGGAGAGAGAGAGAGAGAGAGAGAGAGAGAGAGAGAGAGAGAGAGAGAGAGAGAGAGAGAGAGAGAAACGCCTATCACGGATTTGGGAGGTGCGAGAGTCGCGCCCGTACCTCGTATCTAACGGTCGTAGGTCGGAGTTCGCGGGGAGGATTTACGTTGCCGGGTTCCTCCGCTCGCGCGCGCTCAAACCACAAGCATCCGATACTCGATGAAGCTCTTGCGAAAGAGAACGGAGGAGGACAGGGCGGGAGCGAGCGCTTCGGGTAAAGGTTGCGTGCGAGGACGTGGCCGGGCAAAAATTGCGGGTTAACGTTGGGAAACTGCAGGGCGCGGTTCGCTGCATTTTCCAGGATTAATGCCTCGGCCTTAATTGCCGCGTGCGCGGCACCTCGTGTCTCTTCCTCGTTCTGCTGCTCCTCCTCTTTCGACCGTGTCACGTCCGTCTGTATTTTGACCTTTATTCGTCACGGTCGGACGCGAAAGACTTAGCGCACGTCGAACGTACTGAAAGTAACGGGCAGATAACGCGGGTGAAAATATCACAGCTATCGACAAGCGCAAGAGAGAGAAGCGCAGAGCGCTTGTCCTCTGTCTCGCGACCTTTTGTCTCTCCCCCCGCGGAGCCGTCGCTCGGCCGATAACGGGGTGGTGAAGCGCGCGAGGGTGGCCGGGAATTCTTCGGTGTCTCGATCCGTTACTGCCGGATACGGTCCAAGGAAGGGCATATCCCTCCGTCTTCGCTCTCTGCCACCCCTTTCCTTTTCCACCTCCGTCTAGTCTCTTTGCCTAAATCCTCAGCCGGAACCGCGTGTATCGAGTGGGTTGGGGTGGCCGCGAACGAAGGGCTTTGATAAATGACTGACGCGGAAAAAAATCCGCGTCGATACGTCTTGCTCAAGGAGATGCGCGCGGGAGGGAAAAAGAGCCGGAGGGATGGAGGGAGATAGAAAGAGAGAAAGAAAGAAAGAAAGAGAGGAAGAGAAAAAGAGAGAGAGAGAGAGAGAGGGAGAAGGAGAGGCAAAGAGGGAAGGACGCGAGCGGGTGAAAAAGCCGTCGGTTCTCTCACGGTCCGTCCGAGATGTGTAGCCTATCTCGCGATCTGCATTCCCTTCGCGCGGTCGTTTATTAAAAGCAGTCGAACAACGCGCGCGCTTCGCAAATTGATCCCGTATAAATGTTGCCGCGAGTATCGGGAGGATTTTACGCTTCCGAAAATTCATTAATCTCCCGTCGTGCTCATGGTGTCGAGTTTAATCGCGGCAATTTAAGTTTCTCCGCGTACCGTGAATACAAACGACGCGCATATCGGAGTGCGAAAGAGTGCGAACGCGCGGTTCTCTATTTCTCTTTCCTTTCTCCTTTCCGTTTCCTTCTTCCTTTTGGCGAAACAGATCTGACGTGTTACCGATTACCTCATCATCGCGCTCGTCGTAGCTCATCTCGGCACAAGCTCGACCGGAAATTTTATTCCGAAAGTTTCCCTCTCGGAATTAATCGAATCGTCGTTTCCCCGCGAACGCTGTGAGACACTTGCTAATTCCGAAGAATTTCGGCGCATCGTGTGTGTGTGTGTGTGTGTGTGTGTGTGTGTGTGTATGGACAGCGAAGCCGATGCTAATAACGGCGGATGGTCCTTTCGCGGATGCGTGCTTTATCGGAAAACACTGAGTGAGATATATGGAGAGATTATGCGAGATGGCGTTTCGGAGTCGAACAGGCCGCTATTCTCCGCTCCGTCAATTATGCTAATTTCGATTGCCGCGAGATTAATGGAAGAAGGCGGCGTCTCCGCTCCGCACCGTTATCTCTCTCTCTGTCTCTCTCTCTCTCTCTCTCTCTCTCTCTCTCTCTCTCTCTCTCTCTCTCTCTCTCTCTCTCTCTCTCTCTCTCTCTCTCTCTCTGTCTCTCTTGTGAGTAGTCGGTGGGAGCGTGACGTTCTTTCCGCACTCGACCGACCGTGCATAATGCACTCGACTTGCAATTATTGCAGATCCATCCTTGGTCGGTTTCGATCTCGCAGCCGGTGTTCCTCGTCCCCGACGAAAACGCAGTCAGATGAGATCGCGTCTCAATTCAGCGC